CCGATATCGCTCGCCCGCCGATGTTTGCCATCGCTGGGGAACGAACAGTGCGCCAAGCACAGCGTCTCAAACACAACAACAACAACAACCTTTTGCCACCAAGTGGCAGTGACATCACCGCGGCACTCGTCTCAAACGCACACACACACGTTCGCGTGCGCGCCGTTCTCACCCTTTCTTCGAGACGTTTTGCGGGACCTGCTGGGGATCGGCGGGGCGAGCCAGGATGTGATTGTGCGGTGCGCGCAATGCAAGAGCGTCTGTCCGTGTTGTGCAGGGACGTGGCGCTGGAGGAGGAGGAGGAGCTGACGGGCGCTCTGCAGAGTCAGAACGCGCAGCTCAAGAGCACCCTGCTCGACCTCTACAAAGGCAAGACCTCGCAGCTGCATGCACGACACTCGGTGTTTTACCTTAGCTGGGCGGTGGTGGTGGTGGCGGCAGGCGGCTACATGCACATGGCCTGACATCCAGCGCTGCGGAGGCAGCTAGGCATCGGCAAGGTAAGGTAAAAGTGTAAAAACAACGAGCCTACCTTTACCCTACCTTTTACCTTACCACAATACAATCACTCTACCCTACCTTTTGCCCTTTAGCAGGTAAGGTAAAGGGTAAAAAAGCAACGAGCCTACCTTTTACCCTACCCTTTACCCTTACCCCTCGGCATGTCGACACCTTTACCTTTACCCTTTTACCTGGTAAAAAGGGTACAATTATCTTACCTTATGGGGACCTCATTTGCCAGTAAAAATATGATAATTGGTTCTTTACCCTTCTACCTGGCAACAAAAAAGGTGTCAGTTTTGTTGCCAGGTAGAAGGGTAAAGAACCAATTATCTTATCTTACCTTGCCGAGGCCCAGAGGCAGCAACGGTTGGTGAATCGCACAAATGTTGCGAATGTTACGGAGGTGCCGTTTCCTGTTTTTTTTCAGGAAAAGGCAGTACAGCAAGTAGACTAATTGCAATCCATTTCCATCTTTACGGGGAACGAGTTTCCCCCCCCCCCCCCATTGCATATGTGGGTTTTCTTGGGTGCTCTGGTTTTCTTCCCACAGGTATAATAAACACACATACATGGCTGAAGACATCTTTAAAAGACCCACTGCAAAACCCTCTTTGTCCTTCGACTCAATGTGGCTTTCCTGTGTATATCAGTAACTATATTGTTTTTCTTATCCCAACGCTCAGTCTCCACGTTGATCGTCTTCGTAGATGTGTTCTCTCATTTGGCTGCTATTCCGCAACCAGTCTCGATTCGCGTACACGTTGGATCTGATGAAATTGCCTCGGTCGAGATTCCACTGGCGGTTGCTACTTTTATCGCAACACGATTAATAGTGGATTATTGAGACAAGTTGCGATCCCAAATTGATTGAATCTCGAATTGTTACAAAGGACTAGTGGCCAGACTTCGAGGGTGGTAAGACGTTGTCCTCAAGCCATGCTCAATCCACTGCTAGATCAAGGCTTCTCCCAAGATTTTCGCTGTCTCTCACGGTCTCGGGATGTAACAAATCCTTCGAAGATGTGCACGTGGGCCGATTTCTTCACCCCCGTCTTTGCAGTGTCTCATGGTTCTTTGATAGTGGATGACACTTTTGTGAATGTTACATTATATTATCTTAATGACTGTACATAAACCACCCAGTTTGTGTTGAAGCAGTTTAAGAACGTGTATTAAAACTTTTAACGTTGGGTCGTGCACACAGGTCCATATGGTAACATTGTAAAAACAAATTGCATCTGTAGAGGGCAGTGTTAGTCAACGGTTAAGACATTTTGTCAAAACTTCCACTGTCTTTATAATTTTTACTCTCTTTTTACCAAGGGAAAGCCTCGTCGAGTCTCATGAAACACTTTCAGGAGAGTCCCGGCACATTTTTGCAGCGCGGGGCGATGAATGCTACGTAGATTCCAACCGAGTACTTTTCACTCGGTCCTATGTATGATAGGTATCTGAATCTGGTCTAGACTTCCATTTCAGTCGCTTTGGCCTAAAATGAGGAAGTGGGTTAATAATAATAACAACAACGTACATTTATAATGCCCATTTCATCCGTCAATCCCAATGCGCCCCGTGTATGGAATGCAGGAAATAAACAACCAGGATTAACGGTCATAACTCGGTCGTGAAGGACAATTTATAAAGGTTTTCAAGACATTGAAATAGCTCTACTCTTTGGTTCTTTCGGTAAAGTCACGTATAAAGATAACATAATAAATTAAATAATAGCATAAGACGTTTCGATTGCAACACAAGCAATCATCATCAGGTATTAAAGAAATAGCAACAAACATCTAACCAGAAAACTATAGACAGACATATAAGCAGACAGATATCACAAAGATACATAGAGAGAGAACACACATTGGCACGTGACTTTACCGAAAGAACTGCAGTCACGAAAGCTACAAATTACATTGAAATAGCTCTAACCAAAGGAACGCTTTACCAAAGGCAAAGCGTTCCATAGTCTGGGTTTTGCACAGTGGCAAAAGCCCCATCACCATTAGAAACGGAGCCTTGACCTCGGGAGTACTTAGAAGAACAGGATCCGAAGATCGCGAGGGCATCGTTGGCGTATGAACATGGATCAGTTCCTGCAGATATTGTGGGGCGAACCCATTGGGAGCCGCGTAGGTCAGCATCAGGATGTGAGGATTGTGTGTAAGCATCGGTGCTGGGAAGACAAGGGTGGCTGAGTGTCTGTGGTGACAGTCATACTCCCCACCCCCTTGTGTACTCCGCAGCCCCTAATATAATTTGCTCCAGCTGTCTCTGCGGTGTGCCTGAAGTTCTTTAGAGTTTTGGAGGCAAGTGCCAATTCGTCGATAGCAAACGATTATGACGATGTACGTGTAGAATAGTGCGTGCTGCAATGGATTGCTTACGATTGATGCAAATTATATTCTTATGTTCGAGTTGGTGTCACCTATACAGCACTGTTGTGGTAGGCAACAGGAATTCAGTCAGAGTTAAGGCCCAAAAGCTGTACTATTAAGTTAAAGTTTATTTTGTATATATGTATGTTGAGCTTCTTTCGTACCATACGTAGCCAACCGTGCTGATCGGAGGTCCTTAACAAGGCCAGAACCCAAGAGACCTGGATGAGGCATTGGTGTTCCGGTCGGGGGTGATGATTGCTGTGTCCAATCCCAGTTGAGTACTTGTGGTACTTTGAGGTGAAGAGAGGCAAAGTGTCGTCCGATGGCATGATGGTAGCTCTTTATCCATGAACCTGCCCTTGATTGGAAAACCCAGAAAAGAAGGCAATCGTAAGCTATTGTTACATTCGGCGATGGATGAAATGAAACGGTACGCGCGAGGTCAAAGAGAGAAACGATACAAACCAAACGGTAAAAACGAGTCGTAAGAGAGTTTGATTCTTGACTCAAGTCGTGATCGTCGATTGCTTTGGGGGGGGGGGGGGCGATTGTGGCATGCCCCCCCCCATGTTGTCGATGTTGCCAATGTTAATGTAAGGTTCATGTTGGGCAACTTTTTTTCTTCCCTAAGACGTGTCGAGCATTTTTCTGAGTCGTGGGAAGAAAAAAAAAAGGTGAACTTTCTGAGAAAGAGAGAGTCCTGTGACTCATTTGAGGTCTTTCTGGACAAACACTCCACATAAAGGATCACTCTCGTGTTTGTCAAGATTAGAGGTGGGCCCCTATTGTCATAAGGGGGTGACCTGTGCACAGTGTAAGGCCAGGTGGGCGAGTGGGTGGGAAGTTATTGAGTCGGCGGTCGGTCGTCTTGGGTGAGGGTTGAACGGAGGGGGCTGTGTTGTTTGGTTAGATAACTGGCTAAGCAGCTGAGTTAATCTTTGTTTTTAATATTTAAAAAACCTCCCCCCCCCCAGTGTTATCCCAAGTGCTATAATTGTCTTGTCATGAGATGAATGATTCCATTTAAATCTCTCGCAGGGCAGTGCAGAGCATGGCCCGTGGAAGTGGATATCGCAGAGGTACTTCTGAAATCGCTTGGAAGTGACGTTTGATCGACAGAGTAGAAGGGCAGCGCCTTCCCACCCCCCCCCCCCCCCGCTGCCACTGAGAATGATGCTCATTCGATCATTTTAGTTTCTCAGATACAATTTCGCCAACTGAAGCTCGCAACCAGATTGCACGTGACGGTTATATATGCAGCCATTCGTCTTGTTCTGGCCACGTCACCCCTTCGCATGACATGGCAGACCTTCATAGGTGCTCGGTAACTGCACTTGCCCCAACAGCCTGTAAATGGGGAATCTTTGTGCGTGTCTGTACGTTGCCTCAAAGTGCAGCTGACTTGGCACAGTGCTGTGGTGACGTCACCGCCACTTAGTGGCGTTTGGCGACTGTTGTTTTTTTACATTGAACTTCTTTCACACCGTATGTAGCCAACTGTGTGCTAAGCGGAGGTGTCTGTGTGTATTTTCAGGTGTGTGTGCGTGGAAGTGGGGAGTGGTGGTGTAGTGGTTGGCGCGTTGCGCTACGAACTGGGTGATTCGAGTTTGATTCCGGCTCACGGCCAACATCAGTGACGAATATCTGAACTCGTCCTGAGCCTCCCCTACGTCGACTTATCCTCAAATTAGTACCGGGTGTGGTGTGTAAACATCACCACAGGGAGACAAAGGCGGTCAAGTGTGTTACAGGCCACCAACCCCCTCGTTTACCGTGCCGGCCTTCATAGGTGCTCACTAACAGCACTTGCCCCAACAGTCTATTAAAGCTATACGGGGGGGATCTTTGTGTGTCACACACGACTTAGGGAGCGCTGATTTCAATGAACTACTTGATTCAAGCAAGCACTACTGCTGATGAGACATTGTAATGTTGAAACCTGTTTTTTTTCTTGTACTGAATCATTGCTGCTGAATTGATTCACTCCCAGAAGGCCGTGGGGCCCGATGGCTTGCGCAAAGCAATAACTCGTCTTCGTTTGTGGAAGTGTACAATGCCGTGGTTTCATCGGACGAGCGTTCACGAGTCCGTCCCCGGGGCGCCTCTCGCACACAGGGAACGCGCAGGTGAATCAGGAGCTGCGGGAGAGGCTGAGCCCTCGATCCAAGCCGTCAGCGCGCAAGGCCGAGCGGGAGATCGCGTCGCACCGGCAGTTCGCCCGCGAGCTCGCCGCGCTCGCTCTGCCGTGAGTCAAAGAGAAAAGGGACACGCGAGGTGGGCCAGCTGGCCCGCGGGTCAAAGGGCAGAGCCACTGGCACCATTGATGTTAGAAATGGTGGCGGCCGCCCCCCCCCGCCGTGATTTGTACCGGAGTGTCGGGCGTCTCGAACTGATGGCGTCAGCCCGGTCGCCCAACAACAGCACACGCACACAGACACAAAAAAAGAACATTGCATCATATTTGGTTCGGCACTTACGTTGCGAAATTCCAGCTCTGAATTTTTTTTGTAATCGGGGCCGGATTATGACTTGCTGGGGCCCTAAAGTTATGTCAAGCTTAGGGTTCGTAAATCGAGGATTGCTTGTATATTTTTTGTCATATTGGAATGAAAATAACCGTTTTAAGAGTCTTTTTATTCCTTATTGCCTTTACTTTTCAACCTATTATGTAAAACTTGAAACTTATTTTTAAAAAAGTGAGACCCAAAGCTGTAGCTTAGCTTATGCCTAAATCTGTCATTATTTGTAATTTGACAAACTTCACCCTGTGGATCAGATGTCACTTGAAGGGATCTCGGAGGGAGCTCTGTGGTATTTGCTCCCATGGGTCCGCCCCTTTACACGAAGGCTTTACTGTCGGAGAAATCTGAATAAGTTATTTGGCCATAATTGGCAATAGCAGTCGATCGATCGTCATGCATCATCAGCAAAGGGCTATTAACTCAGTCGACATCTTCAGCAAATAGTGCTTTTGCTGTCATTCCTGTGTCAGCGATAGGCTAAACAGGTTAAAAAAATATAGAGAATATAAAAATAACTATGATTAATAATTAAATGAATGCTTCCAACTCGAATCCAACACCAAATTTGTAAATTTAATTTTGCGGTGATGCTCTTATACACGAGATGACTTTGCGTCTTTCTCTAATTTATGTTTGTTTTGGTGCATATTTAAAAGGGGGCAACCACTCAGGAAATGGAGCGATGGGCTATGGCTTGGGGGAAGAAGCCTTCATCCAGCAGTAGACTGATCGTTGCCAACATCGATGATGATAACGGCCTCTGACTCGGTTTAAATGGAGTTAACGAATGAATTAAAGATCGAACTGCGTATGTTTGGCCGTGGCCGTTGTGCCGTACGCAAGAAGAGGCAGCAGCAGCTGCTGTCGTTGTCGGAGGGGCGGTCACGTCCGTCAGACGATTCCAACGGACAATGGCCGTGTGCGCGATCACACGGCGGCCGCGCGTGTTTCACACGATCCACCGGAATGCCGGCCGGAACGCCGGCTTCCCAGCAGCAGCAGCAGCAGCACCCCCCTTGTGCCCTGGGTTGGTGCCTGGCACTGCTGGCGATGCCGGCGCCGGCCTCAATGGGACTCGAACGTTGGGGATAATAAATCTGGGTGCCGTCTGCCCCCGCCCGCCCGTCATCAGATGCATTCCGTTTGTACCTCCTGCAAAAGCATGGTTCGGGGAGCAATGATTGATGATGTGAGTGATGGATCGCACTTCGCCGCAGTTAGACTCGCATAGACTCGCACAGAGACCCACAGACTCGCATAGAGGTCTATACCAGCCGCATATGTCACCTGTGTGTGTGTACAAGCAATGCACAACCCTTGCGGTAATTGAACCAGCAGGCATGTGGCGATACAACTCGTTTGATTCTGCACGATGTGGTACGTTCGCTTGGATGGAGAGTCGCTTGCTGGACGTTATGGTTTGTAGACTAACGCGGAATTTCCCTGTGCCCCGGGTCGTGATGCATGCAGGACGATCGCGGCCTCGCGCATGGATCCGGAGACCACGGATATGGGGAAGTCATTTGGCGATGAGGAGGGAAGCGTCGGCGCAGCGAGTAAGAGGCGCCACCTTTTACCGCAGTTGTGTTTTGGTGTTGTTCACTCGTGCGGTCATGTGGATACTTAAAAAATATATATCAATGTCTACCTACATATCAAACTGCCTACTGACCTACTTGTCTACCCAATTACTTAGTGAACTACCAACTTACTGTTCCACCTATCCACTGTCAAGTACCTACTCGCCTACCTTGTGACCCACTGCCTTTCTATCTGCTTGCCTGTCTCCCGACCAACCTATCTTCTGACCTATCTGCCCATCTATTTACCCACCTACCTCCATGCTTATCGACCTTCTGACCCACTTGCCTACCTCTCTACCAACTTACCTGCCCACCTACCAACCTACCTATCTGTCCATCTACCTACCGCCCTACCTTCTCACCCATGAGCCTCAACTATGTGTGCGTATTGAAGAGATAAGCAGACGGGTTTAATTAGTTGGACCTGTCAAGGTATTATTATCATTATTTCCAATCCAGAGCAGTGAGCCAATGTGTGCCCAAATATTACATGCATCAGTCACGCGTCAGCTGCCAACCACGTCTGTTTATAACGCACATTAATCACCTGGAATTAAAACGGCATGGTTTTGTTTATTGTGCCATTTATCATTTTGATTGTACATGTACATATGCACGTGAAAAAAATAGTATTGTTCATTAGAAAAATTCCACTCGTACCACCTGGTCGTTGGCGAGGCGTAGACAAAGGTTGACTTTGCGTTCAAATTCTTAAGTGATTTTCGGCTCAAGTGAGCTTTGAATCGGTGCTTATCCCCCTTTTACAGCCAGTCGGGGAAATTTCATGTTCATCACCATCTATCCAAGGGACAATGATGGTCGACTTCCCCACTAACTGGTATTCATTTTTATTAACCCTGGAGAAATTCACAATATTCATAATATAGGTTTTTGGGTCAGATCGCGTTATTTATAAATGTGTCGTAACCCTCCACCACCCGACACGGCCAAACAGTAAAAAATGTGTCACGTTTTCAAAGGACAAATTAATTGACTTCTTTAGCCCACCGGTGTGCTGAAGAGAGAATCGACAGCATTTTAAAATTTGAGTAGTCCGACGTTTCGCTGATAATTACAATCAGCTTCTTCGGGCAAGAATGGTGAAGCTCTCCTGTTGCTTCCGATCTTAAATAGAGAGAAATTATGGAACGAGTCAACCCCCAACTAGGATTCGAACTTCGCAGCCTTCCGATTGCGAGCCGCTCGCTCTGCCGCCCACCTGGTCATGTGGATGAAAGCGGTTGGATGCTGTGCTAGATTCTGAAGTTGATTTGCCTCTCTCCTCCGCCCATGTAGGGTGCTTTTGACGTGCGACTGAGGCGCAAACAATTGCCGACTTAATTAGAACGACCCGAGAGGATGAGCCACAACAAACACGCAGTTGTTGTCTGCGTCTTTATGAAAAAGGGGGCCACATTTGCCACGCAAGAATGTCTGCGTTTGGACCTGGACGTGGGCTTGTGGCGAGAAAATATTTTATTGAACGTCATCCATCGTACACCATAAGTCTAAACGACAAAGCGTGGATGCATTTTCGTTGCACCTCTGCGATGTACTAAAGTGGTAGGGACATGTTCCAGATTTTCAGATGAATTAAAAAAAAATCCTAAAATATGGCTGCGATATGAAATTTCAGATCATCTGAAAAAATGTTTGTTTTGGGTTGATCAGAAAACATGATATCACAGGACATGACGTCACTTGCTGTGATGTCACTTCCATGGTGGCACTTTTTTGATTTTCCTTTCAAAAGGGCCATCACATGACGACATTTTTACGATTCGTGATATCACATTTGTTTGAAATATTAAAATATAGAAAAAAACATTTCTGCTTAAAATTTTAATTTGACGGTAAACATTTACAACTTTTAAATTTATTATAATTAATCCATAAAAAAATTCCGTTAATAAAATGTAAGCTGCTAAAATCCAAACAAAATCTAAACTTTTACCTAAAATCCAAAAAGTCATTGTCCGAAATTCGTCTCCACAACATAGATAATTAGGCAGTAGCAGCTGCTATTGTCGTCGCACTGTTATCTGACAATAACAGTTCTGGTCCGCATTGCAATTTGGCGTTTACTTTGGAAGCGCCGCGCGCTGTGTGGAGTGCATGCGGCGGTCGTGCGGCCTGCGTTTAAATCTCTCTCTCTCGTGAGACGCCGCCACCACCATCACCGCCACCACCGCTGCCGCCGCCACTGCCCATAAATAGTTTCTGCCGAGGTTTGCGATTGTGCCTCGAGTTTGGAAAAGTCAACTAGCGTTCAAATAATACCAAAGGGAACAGTTTCCATGGTAATGGACGAGAAGAGTGACTTTTGAATCGGCGCCTTTCGCAGATTTTGCCTCCTAATGTCATTACACCGCGAAAGTGGCTGAGAAAAAAAAAACGAGAGCAGAAAAGAAAAGGGGCCCTCCCCAGCGGCGGCCGCACAATGCGGGGAAGGCCGAGCACGAGTGGGAAAGTAAACAGCGCCGGGCGGGGGCCGGCCCGCAGCTATGGAGCACGATTCTCTAAGAACGCCGTCCCAGCGTTTGTCTTGCGTCTGACGAAAATGCCGGTATCCTGGGCAGGGGACCGCGGCAATGGGAGCTCCTGGCGACAGGCCCTGGAAGGGTGGGGGCTGTGGTGGGGTGGGGGGGGGGCACGCTCCCTGTTTGCTCAAGACGAGAAACAAAAAAGCGGAGAGAGCGGACGGGTAGAGGTTCTAGTGAGTGAACGAGCGTGCGAGAGAGAGAGTGAGACGTAGAGAGAGAGTGTGGGGTGGGGGGGGATTGATACAGGAGGGGGAAAAAAATGATGCGAGCGAATGCGGGGAGCAGGAATTCCGATGTCACCGCGTTTCTCGGAGTTGTAGCGGAGGACGCTGATTGAAAGCGGCGTTGCACTCTTTGGTGTGACGACGATGATGGATGTGGCCAGGCCGGTTGGACGGCCGGGCGGCCGGCCGATCGGTCGGTCGCCGTGCCATGGCGGACTTTGACCGTCGCTCGGTTTTCTGTCAGAGCCAGCGACCAGACGGGTACCATTGTGCCGCTTGCACATCAAAGCCAGCCCCCAGAAAATGTTTCCTGATAAGGGTTTCGTCGGTGCCCTTTTGTGATGTGGCTCGCCCATGCTGGCGCGAACATTTTTATTCGTCAAGCCGATTTGGCAACCTCCACCGTGTGGAAAAGTCCACATGTCATCAGTTTTGTTTTTGACAATGCATTCTTTTTTTGGAGAGCTACGAACAAAACCCATTTTTTTTTTTAATACGCGCACCGTGTGAAGTAAAACGAACTTGCGACGTTACGATTCAAACACAAGAGCGATCACCCGGTAGTGATTATTGTCGTTGCGTTCGCAGCAATTTAGATTTTTAAAAGCAACGGCGGCTATTCACACCTCCGTTACTGCGATGTGTTGCTCGTTTGTGGTCAAAAGTCATTGTCGTCGGCCTTTCCTGATCACAAGTCTTGGTCTTGTTAAGGTGGTGGTGGTGGTGGTATTACAGGTCTTGGCGGCAAAGCTGATGATGGTTATAGGTTTACTCATTTCTTCTACATTTGAAGCTTTCGTGACTGCAAGGATTCATATTCTTAGGGTTTTTTAAAGGTTTTTTTTAGGTTTTTTTTCGGTAAAGTCATGTTACTTTACCAAAAAAAACGAAGAATATTTTGCTCATTTCCTCTAGAATTATGATCTGCTCTGCAATTAGGACTATCCCAAACTGTGTAGTAATCGATGACTCATTTGGGTCAATAATCAGAACGGTTGCACCCCTCACTTATTGAGGCGGTTCGTTTCTGACCAAAAACGTGGATTGTGCCCCTCACTGTGAGGCACCGGCATTCGTGTTCCACGGGAAGTGCAAAGCGCTCGAGCTTGGATCTGCAGTCGGGGTGGCTCGGAGGTCAAAGCGCCGAGCTTGGCACGGCCAACATCCTCTGCGTCCAACCACTTGCCTGTGATGCAACCGGTGGAACGAGTTGCGAGTTGTTGATCTCCAGCCCAGCCACCAATGACTGCACGATAAGAACGTTTCGTGAAAAATGTTGATCCTGGACTAAATTCTAGCTCTGAGAATTAAAAAAATAATTTGTTTTTTATTGTCCAGATGTCCTTGAAGGGACCTCGGATTGATCGCTTTGACGCTCACTTCCACAGGCCATCCTCTTTAACACTCAACCTTGCGCTGCTCTGTGAGATTTCCAAATGAATGTTTAGTCTCGTGATGTGCAGTGGTCGCACAGTCGGAATAACAATGAGGAAAAAGACAAAACACTTGTTTGTAAACTGTGGACCGCAAGCTCTCATTCCGGGCCTTCCACCACCATCACCACCACCTCTCCTCGCCCTTCCGCCAGACCACGCGCCCCTTGAGAACGCTCGCTAAGCCGCGACGTGGACGTTCTCGTTTGCTTGACGGACGGGGCGAAGCGCTTGACGGGCGAAGCGCTGGCCGGCTGGCCGCCGGAGGGCCTCCCGCAGAGGAGATGCCACACACACACAGCGGGTTTACACAGACTGTGCAAACAGGTTATAAACCAGCGCGGTGCAAACGCACGCGCAGCCTTGGCGAATTACCGCGAGCTGTTTACTTCCCTCCCATCTCGGGGCCCGGGGAAAATGTTGTCGGTTCTACTGTCATCGCTCGGTGGTGGTGAAGTGGTGTTTGAATTATTAAGCGAGTTGCCAATAACCCCCCCCCCCCCCAGCATTTAAAAGTATATAATAATAATTGGTCATTTGCAGCCTTATGCCGCTTCATCAACGAAGTTGGTGCTGGCATCCGTCGGATTACCCGCTGTAGCACAGCACTGCTGTAAAACTACCAGGAGTGACCAATAAACAGGGCATTGTTTTAAGCGCAGTTCGCTAAAATAAGATAATACTGTGTTGTTTGTTTTTATTACGTTGGTGGATGAAGGTCTCCATAATCATACTGTGTAGGCCATGTGGGTTGTTTGACCATACTTTATCATGCCGGTCGGCGAGCGTTGACAAAGAGGGAGGAGGGGAGGTACCCAGGATTGCTTCTGATACCAATGTTAAGCCGTGTTTGGGATTTGAACTCTGATTTCCGGGTTAACAGTGCGGTGCGTCAAGCACTGCACCACCCCCAGCAATATAAAACAGTCGTGTAATTAGTAATTTGCAGCGCTTTGTTAAACCACTTCTGGATTAAGCCCAATTCAAACAAAATGAAAACAATGCTAATATCTGGAATCTGTTGGAACATATATTCTCCCTTGTCTTAACAATGGCAATGGATCTCGCACTTCGCAGGCTCTGTGGTCTGTCATGCGATCGGCATCCCACCCCGCACCACTCCCTGCTGACCACAAATCCCTCGTCGTAGCAATATCGATTCGATAACATTTCGGTGCCAAAGATCACATCTTCTTATCAGACCTCGAAAGTTTAGCAAGTGTTTGGGCCGTTCCTTCGCTAACCCTCACTGACCAGCATGGTGAAGTATGGTCAAAAAAATCCCCTTGACCCTGCACGGCATGATGGGAGGCCGCATCTAGCAGTGGAGTCGCTAAAGGGCTGTCATGGTGTGTGTTTTGTAATTTAGTGGCTCGCTGACAATTCCCACCCAAACAGCCTGTGGTTTGACAAAGAGGGCTGTACATGATACATGGAGCCGAATTGTCTTTGGTCTCCTTCACAAACGCCAGGTGGTGGAGCAGCGGACCCACTGGAAAAACGGCCCAACTCTGGTTCTTCATCTTTGGAGGAGGAGGACGAGGAAAATGAGGATGTGGAGGAGGAGGAAGACCGCAGTATTTCTTCACCGAGTTCCGGCACTAACGAATCCCGGCTACTCTCACCGGCGCCGTCATCCGTCCCTCCGCGGCCGCTCCCAAGAACCTCTCTGCAGGTCCGCATACTTTTGTTATTCTGCTCATCGGCTTCACCTTGACATTCTCACAACGGAGTCGCCTACAGCGGTTGTACATGTGTTCAATGTTGGTGTGAGGGGTGTGTAATTTTTCCCCCCCTCCAATGTTATCAGGTCGGTCATTCGGGGAACCCGGGAAATGTTTTCATTTCACCATTGCCACGTTCGGTTTTTCCCAGTGCACTGCCGTCTCCAATAACGTGACTAAATTATCTCGGTCAGCGTTTTTGTCCGGACTCATTAATTTCGAAGTCGTGCTTCCATCTCTGGTGGGCAGTGGGTCGCGGTCCTCGTCACGCTTAACGATCTTCATCATCTTCGTCGTTGACTAAAAACACAAAAGCACTTCATTCACGAATAAGTTACCCGCTACTTTTGTTCGCAAAATTGCTCTCCGTTCGCAGGCGAAACGGTCTCCCACCACCCCGGACTCGATTCCCCGGCTGCCTGCCAGCACGACGACGACTCCTTCGGCTGGCTTCACCGAGTGCCCGTGACGACCCCGAGGCCCCGTCCGGCGGAGAGAGCCGCTGCAACGGTTTCCCGTCGCGCCACAACGGGCAGGCGGGCTCGGTGGTGACCGTCGGTCCTGCTGCGCCAGGCAAACTTTCCCTGCGGAATCCGCGCAGCCTGCCCTCCGCGGGAGTGCCGGTGGGCGACGCGGCGTCCGCCATGTCTGCCGTCACCGCCGCGCGATCGTCCATCTTCAGGTGCTGACTGCAAGTTGGGGATTCCTGGATTGGCAATGCGAATCCGTGGTTTGTGGGTGCTGATTTTTATTTGTTTGGTCACTGTAAGCGCGTGCTCTTAGGGTATGTTGAACTTTTTTCGCACTGCACGTAACCGACCGTGCTAATCAGAGGTGCGGGGGAAGGACAGCAAACTAAACACAACAAGTATTTCTAATGAAATTAGTTTTCAATCTCGATACAGGGTCTGCACATCTGTTTGCCTTTTAATGCGACTGCGTCTGTCGACGGCATACGAATGGGCGGCCGTTTTTGAAGAAATGTTGAGATGTTTTTCTGCCTGCGGAGTGGAATTGAGGGGTGATCATTCTACAGGGCAGAGAGGGGAAAGCGGAGAATGGTGTGCTTCAGGTGAGAATGAAGACAATTTCAAGATGCCCGATGGTTCCCAGGGTCCGTTTGAGGACCTCGGACGCTTGCACTTTTACATTTGTGGCCCCCTACCCTGTGGAACCTCCTCACCTTCCACTTTGTCGGATGAGAAATGGGGGGGAGAAAGAGAGAGAGGGACAGAGTATCAGTAAGTAGAGAGATTAAAATCTGCATTCAAAACCCCCCCACCTCTTTAACCTTGCTCTGTCCGAGTTTGAATTGACGATGGCCAAGCTTTCAATTCTCTGTAACGCGTAGTAGGCCTTCGCGACCAACATTATTCATAATAAAGGTTTTTGGGGTTAGTAGTAACTAATTGACGCGTTTAGTTTACGTGACCAAACCTTACTGGCTGTGTCGAGTGGTGGAGAGGGCTACGACACATCTTTCAATTCTGATTTAATTTTCTTGTGAAACAGCTTTGATACACACCTTGACTTCGCCATTTGGAAATGAACATGTCAATAAATGTTGAGTGCCAACGCGCTGATCGGGGGGGGTGGGGGGGGGTTTAAAAAAAAAAATCGAAAAACAAACAAACGAGCGTTCGACGTAAGTGACGGTCACCTCGTCTCCTGTGGGCGGCAGCGGGAGCCACGCTGGTCCCCTGGCCGAGCCGGGAGGACACCACAAGCACGTCCCGCTCCTGCTGGCCGAGTTGGAGGCCGCGTGGGAACTCAACAAGCAGGTGCCCCGCCCCCTTCTCCTCCTCCTCCTCATCATCATCATCTGCATCGTCCTCATCCCTTCTCCACCTAATCATGATTATCATCATCGTCGTCAGCCTTATCCTTCACCTGCTCCTGTTCCTCATCATCATCGTCATTCTCATCATCTTGCTCATCATCCATCTTCATTTCTCCTCATCTTCTTCATCACTCATCCTTTGCATCTTCCCCATCAGCCTCTTCCTCCTCCTCATCCTTGCTCACACTTATGGCCTACCCTTATCATCACCCTTAATCACCCTTCTTCCCATCCTCTCACTCCTCCCCCTGCTGCTCCTCCGCTTTGAGCTCTAGGGGCTACCCCATCGTCTTCGCGGGGCAGGGCTCAATTAGGGCCCTTTCCTGGGCCATCATAGACCGGGTCCGAGCAAGGGCTCGTGGAGCCGGGGGGAGTGAGACGTGTCGTCCCACCTCCCTCCGTGTCTCGCACCCCCTCTACCCCACCCCACCCCGTGTCATCGCAGCTCCAAGAGCGTTTGGGTCGCGCCGAGCGGGAGCTGCAGACGATGGCCGTGGACGCGGAGCTGCGCGAGGAGGCCGAGGAGGCGCGCGTCGCCGAGAGGGCGGCCGGTGGGTGGGGGGGAGGATGGGGAGGGGGGGGCTTTGTGTGTGTCCGTGTGGTGTGTCCGTGTGGTGTGCGTGTCTGTGTGTTGTACACGGTAGTGTAGCGGTTAGCGCGCTGCGCTACGAACCCGGCGACCCGGGTTCGATTCCCGCTCACGGCCAACACCCAGTGACGATGATCTGAACCGGTCCTGGGCCTCCCCTAGGTTGATTCAACCTCAAATAAGTACCTGGTGCGGTGTGTAAGACATCGCCACAACGGAGGCAAAGGCGGTCGGGCGTGGTGCTGGCCACCCACCCCCTCGTGCGCTGTACCGGCCTTCATAGGTGTTCACTAACAGCACTTGCCCCAACAGTCTGTTAAGGCTATACGGGGGGATCTTTGTCTTTTTAATGGGCAGCGCTGGTGCAGGAAGTGTACGCGGCACAGAGGGAGCGAGACGCCGCGGTGTTGGCACGAATGCGCTTGGCTCAGCAAGAGCGCGACGATGCACTCCTCCGTGCGCGGCAGATGGAAGAGGAGCACCTCCGGTAACGCTCCCTCGCTCACTTAATCTCGCGTTCGCCCTCTCACACTCGTGCTCACCTGGTCGCTCATCTGTAAGCTCAATTGCACCGTCACCTGCCCAACCTCACGCTCGCCCAACCTCACACTCGCCCAACTTCACACTCGCCCAACCTCACATCCACTCAACACCACACTCACTCATCCTCGCATCCACTCATCCTCGCATCCACTCAACCTCACATCCACTCAACCTCACATCCACTCAACCTCATATTTCAACTCGACCCAACACTCGCCCACATTATTGCATTTCCCCAGAGAGACACTTTAGGTGAAAACCAGCCCCCACCCCACTGACCCCCCCCCCTCCCTCCCCAAGCTTTCACGGGTAAAAATAGTTGTCAGATACCATTTATTTATTTACCAACAAAAGCCTCATGGCGTCTCAACGCTCTTTGTTGAAGAGGGGGGTCTGCATTGGAATGTTTGACCAAGTAAATTAATGAGTATGTGGAGAAAAACCGGAGAACCTCGAGAAAATCCTTGCACACAAGGGGAGAGTGGGGAGGGGGGGTGGTACATTCTCAAAGCTCCGCACAGATAGATTCAAAAATCTATTGCTGTCCTGCCATCTGGGTCACCTTGCAAGCCCAAGCCTACGTACGGTAACCGGTATTCCCAGGCAGTCACCAATCCAAGTACTATCCAGGCTCAAACTTGCTTAGCTTCTGCGATCTGATGGGGTGAATTTTTTCCAAACCGTTAGAAAAGGTCGGCGATTTTCCCGGTTTCAGTCGCTATTTTTGGTCAACTTTTCCTTTCTGTTTTACTTCGCTGTGACCCGCAGGCCTTTTGTAGGTTTTAACAGTGTTTGTCCAACTGGCCGGTCTGCCTAATAAGAGTAGAGGTCATCTGTTTTATAGGGGGGGGCACTATGGGTGGAGTCGGGGTGGATGGGGGAACGCCGAGCTGTTCGAAGTAACTTTTTTTTTGCAGCCCTCGGACGTTCGGCAACCTTTGTCCCGAGGACACGGAGAGGGCCCCCCCACTCCCACCCCCCCCTAGTTGACCTCCCTCTCCTGCCCCATCCTCCGTGGTCGTCAGGTTAGAGCCGCACGTTTCGTTTCCCACCTTTGCGCGAGCTCCTTGTTAGGATTAAAATATAGTTAAACAAACTAACACAGAGTGATTTAAGGTTCGCAAAGCGATGCATTGGGGCCGGTGGCATGGGACGAGCGAGCGTTGTGAGTGACATATTCTTAGGTTTTTTCGGTAAAGTCACGTATGTAAAAAATTAAAATTAAAATTAATAAAAGTAAAATAAAAATAAAAAATCACGACGTTTCGGAGGCAACACAAGCTTCCGTCTTGCCTCCGAAACGTGGTGATTTTTTATTTTACTTTTATTAATTTTAATTTCAATTTTTTACCTACGTAACTTTACCGAAAAAACCTAAGAATATGAATCCTTGCAGTCACGAAAGCTTCAAATCTAGAAGTTGTGTGTGACCCTCGCTTTGCCCCGCATCTCACCGCCTCCTTGTAAACCCCCCCCCTTCTCCCTCTTCATCCTTCTCTCCTCATTCTCTGCGTGGCCTTTTCGTGGGCACCGGTGAAGCACGCGGCGGCGGCAGCGGCTGCGGCGACGGTGGGGCCACCACCACCCAACGCCGTAAAAAAAAAGTGGCCGGGCCCCCATTGTTTGCCAGGGGTTGCCGCTCTCGACGCTGCATTCCGCAGCGTCGGTGGTGTCTGGCCGCGTTTTTTTTGTGGTTTCTCTCCGCGCAAGGTGGGGGGTTGGGGGGGGGCTGGGGGGGGTATTGTGGAGGTTGGGGGTGCGAGGGGGGGTTGGGGGGGGCAAATTCGGGGCTTGCCGCAGCACAGCCCTGCCGCCCGCCGCTGCCCTCGTTGAGCAAACACACCTTGCCGTGTGGAGTGTTTGCCGAGCGCTCAGACCCCGCATTCCTGCGCGTTTGTGTTTTTCCCCCCCACCTCTCTGTTTTTCTCTATCCGCTGCTGCGTTGTTGGGCGAGTCGCCATCACGGAAGAGTTCGTGGGTCCTCCATCCGTGGAGAACTTAAACTAAACTATAAACTATTTTTATTTTACCAGGTAAGGCCCACGGAGCTTATATAGCTCCTTTTCAGAAGCGACCTGGCCACAATTGATCGCTCGGCAAAGTGGCGGATCAAGTGGAAATTTATAGCAGTCAAATACTCTCTAAACGAGGAGGAGAAAACCAAAGGATCTTGAGAAAAATCCCCACGACCATGGGGAGAACATCCAAACGTCAAATATGCAGGCATCATCAGGATCAGGATTGAACCCACGACCTCCTGTATACCTGGCGTGGTAGTTGACATCTTGCCACTGTGACCCCCCCCATCTCCTTCCACTTGCCCCCCCATGACCGCCTCCTCCCCAACTACCTCCACCCTCACCAGTGTCATCATTGATACAGCCCTACTGGTCGCTACATTCACAAGCAAGTTACTGGGATCATTGATTGGCGACTTGTCACTGTGAATCTTGACATTTCATCGAATCGCCATGTTGCACCCCCTAATCGCTATCCTTTCGTCACTCCACTGATGGACAAAGGCCTCCCCCAGACCGCGTCGGTGATGGGGGTGGATAGATCATACTTGACCATGCTGGTCAGTCGTGGGTTTGTGAAGGTGGAAGGTGGTTCCGATATTACTCGCCACCGATGTTAGCTTCGGGCGGGAATTGAACTCGGATCGCCGGGTTCGTAGCGCAGTGCACAAACCACTCCATGATCGCTTCACCTCCCGCAAAATGTCCACCCCCAAAACCCCTCGCCTCTTCCTCCAAACTCCGTTTCCAAGAATAGAAGGTGGAAGTTTGTTACCCTTTTCTATGTATTTTTTTCCGGTGGTGAAATTCCATTTGTGCATTCTGTGCCAAATCATCAGACAAAGAAATCCATCAGTACATTTCATTGAATTGTCGCGATACAGGGTCGTGATTTGATTGAACGTTTGAAACTAAATTAACATTGTGGTGAATGTAAGCGGCCTCTATGGACTAGAGCAAGTCACCCCAGACCCATTAGGTGCAGCACTTTCAAACATGAGAGCATCGATTCGTACACTACGAGACCTGATGCCAGTATCGTGAACTGGACAATCGATATTAGTCGATCAATCTATGCGTCGTTACACCACGGCATCCCACCGCCCCCCCCCTCCTTAGTAGTCACATCCCTAATAGATTGTCAATGTGAACATGCGCCCTGGGAGGTGGGTGGCAGGGCAGGGGCTGCGATTGACTGCGGCTGCCCTCTCATAAACACGTTTTTATATGAGGAGCCGCTCTTTTGTCAAATCGGCGCTTTTTTGCGGGGGAGGGGGATATTCTAAATAAATAAATAAACGTGCCCGCAATCCGTGTGTCCCCTGCGTGCATCTGCTCTAGGTCTGAACCCCAGGAGCTCACGGACTCGGATGTGGTACGTTACACAAAAGCCACAGACCGTGCAACGTGCTGCGAGCACGGCGCGCTGCACTCTATCGCCATTGCCCCCTCCGTCGCTCCGCTCGCCGCTGTAGGTGGGCGCGGGTAAACAAAGAGGCGACGCACATTCCCGCAGTGCTGCAAAAACTTGCTCGGGGTCACGCCTGGGGTAATAGGGCAATGCCGCACTATGACTAATAACGACGATGATGATGATGATAATAATAGGAACGCCCTTTATTTAACTCGGAAAGAGTCGCCGAGTGTCTAGACCGGGCGGTGGGAAATTTATGGCACCGTGAGCCACACCTTTCCCACGACTTGGGGTCTTGGCCACGTGAAGTCTTCCACGGCGCGAAATGGCCCGTACCACAATATGTATATGTCGCTGCAAGCATCTTGGCAACACTAATCAGGTTACCAGAGGGAAATATTTTTGACCTCGAAACAGCGCTGTGTTTCAAACTTTAACGTCCTCGGTCACTTATGTCACTGAAAGAGGTCCTCTCGTGTTGGTGTGCTGTCCGAAATATTGATAGTCTTATTCTGCCATCGGCAATGACAAAGTTGCTTATGACAATGCTAAAGATGGCAAGGTGACGACGATGATGACGATGACAACGATGACGTGACTCTTCTTGGTTCTTTCGGTAAAGTCACGTAGAATGGAAATAATAAAATAATAAAAATAAAACATAATAAAATAATTCTCACGACGTTTCGGCCACAACGCAAGCAGCCGTCCTCAGGTGGAGAACAGGTCTGTCGAGAAGACAGAGTCTGACAGACCTGTTCTCCACCTGAGGACGGCTGCTTGCGTTGTTTATTATGTTTTATTTTTATTATTTTATTATTTTCCATTCTACGTGACTTTACCGAAAGAACCAAGAAGATGAATCCCTGCAGTAACGAAAGCTTTAAATCGAAATTTATGACGTGACTCTTAACGACGTGTGCGCCGGTGACCCCTGGCAGGCGCTGGAGGAGCTGCTGGCGCGGATCGGCAGCGCCGACTCGGGTCCGGCCATCGAGCAGGACGGCGCCATCATCGTGCGGCGCATCGCCCGGGCACGCGAGCGCTCGCGGCGAATAACCGCTGAGGAGATGCGCGCCGTGCTTGCGGAGAGGGACGGCGCCCTCGCACGGGTCAGCCCTCCCCTGCCCTCCTCTCCCCCTGCCCTTCTCTCTAACCTCGTAGTGCTGCCCTCCTCTCCCCAGCACGACACCTCCTTCTCGACGGCCCTTCTCTAATCTTCAATGTTCCTGTCCGATTGCCCTGTTGTTCCCTGACCTTTCCTGCCTCCGTCTGTGATCTCCTTGGCCCTTCGCTAATCTTCTCTGCTCTGCCTTCCCTGATCTCCCATGCCCTCACAGATTTTCTCTGATCCTGCCCTCATTTCCCCGGTCCTTCCCAGATCTCCTCTCTCTTACCCAAAATCCCATGTCCATCCCTGTTCTGGTCTCCCCATGGCTGCCCTGCCCTGATGCTTCCATGCCTTGCCATTCCTTACCCCGATGAACACGGTTGGATACGTACGGTGCGAAATAAGTTCAACGTACTGTACATACAATATTGGTGTCTCCTTTCAAGCGCTCCCCTTCCTTGACCTGCTCTGTTCCTCACCCTCTCTGCCCTGCCCCCTTGTCCCCTTATAACTCAAACCTCAGATTTGTCATCATCATTACTGGGCGCTCACTGAAGCTGGGGCCACTTGGACTGAGCGCAAATAGTGTCGCGTGCACCTCATGTCCCTTGCATGCCTTTTATGATGCAAGAAATATATTTCGGGTCAAGGGTAGGTCACAAGTGTATGAACAAATACAGGTATTTGTACTGTTCAGATTCGGTGCACCATAAAATGTGGAATATGATTTGAATACTTTCCATTGTAGGTAGTGATGTTTTTTTAAAGTCTCAATAAAAGTCAACCCTCAAAGATGAGTCAAGGTAATATGTAAGGGTCTCTCCCATGATGTTCTGTGATGGCTAGTATTTAGCGTGTGTTAAACCGGGGGACCCATGGTTAGATATTGGTCCTGCCCCATTCTAGCCTCTTATCACAAAGAGAATGGTCCCATAATCTTAAGAGTCCTTGGGTAGCACAATCTTAAAAAAAAAAAGGATTTCAGTTTTTGTAATCAAGAGGTGTGGATTTAATTCGAAGATTTAATGAGATTAACTATTAAAACCCTAAGAGAAAACACCGATCCAAATCACAGGATTCACAGCAGGGATGGGAAATCTCTGCCTTGCCCAGGGTTGACCACGGCTCTGAAAAATACTTTTTTGTGTCAAGCGCTCGTTAACACACGCATCTCGGTCACTTCTGCCACGTCGCCCTCTGCTACCTTGATGAGTGCGGCTACGATACTTGCAGCGTCGGCTAAACATCATTTGCCGGCAGCTCCGCAAATGACGTGGCCACGGGTCGTCTGAAGCGACACTGTGGGTCGTATCTACCCCCCCCCCCTCCCCTCCGCGTCGTAGATTCCCCACCCCTGCTTTACAGGGACGAGGCTGATTGTTTATTTGGGTTCCAGGCAATTATCGTGGCAGCTCCATGAAAGCTCGCCCAGCTCGCGAGTCGTGGGCCATTTCTGTGAACGAACGAACGGGCGAGCGGGCAGGATGGGTGGGTGGCGAAGGCCGTCGCACTTTGACAGGAGGAAGTGAATTTCTGTAAGCGGTGCGGAGCGACGAAGCTCACAGCCCCCGGCAAACGTCGCACCCAAGTGCCGGGCGGCCGTCCCATTTGCGGCGGTCGCCCACCTGGCGCCCCGGCCGCTCAACCCCTCCCACCCTCCCCCACCCCTACCCCCACGCGCCGCGCGAATCGCCGCGGCATTTGCGCCGCGAAACATTGCGTCCCCCTGCGCGAAATTGGGCGAGGTGTTGAGATGTTTGTGCGAAAATCCGGGAGCATTGAGTGCGGCGTTTCGGCGCGGTTGTGCGCGGTGACACAGCGTGGCCGACGTCGGCCCTGGTGCGAGGGATGAAATGAGCCTCGCCATCATCCACAATCAAATTTTCCCCCGCCACCCCTCAAGCTTCATAACCTAGTACCGGACTATAAGCCGTGGTGCATTTGCACCACCTGCACGCTCAGTAGCCACGCTACTGAGCGGTGCAGATTTAAAATTGCAGATTTAACATTGCGCGGTGTGTCGAAAGTAAGCAACACGTTTAACAATACCAATCATGACATTGCTTCGAATGATCAGCATGTCCACATTATGCTAAGGATCGTGATTGTACGAGGAGCAACGAGCGGGTCGACCAGGGCTTGCCCCAACACAGCTGAGGTCACAGGCGCGTGCCACCATGGCCAGGTTTATTTCTGTGTTGGGGCGTTGGCCAAGTTGAGTGCGGCCCTGGCTGCATTTCATTTGAAATGTATTTGATTTCCCGCCGTGTCACCCCCTCCCCCCTCCCGCCCTCCGCAGTGTGCAAAGCTGGAGGAGGAGCTGGGGAGGTTGAAGGAACAGAACGTGTCGCTGGCCAACAACAAGCGCAACTCCGCCTGCGAGGGCATCCCGGACCGAGCCATAAAGGTCGACACCCCTCGCCCGCTCCCTCTCCCCCGCTCCCTCTCTCGCCCGCTCCATCTCTCGCCCGCTCCGACTAGCCCGCTCCCTTTCTCGCCTGCTCCATCTCTCGTCTGCTCTCTCTCACCCACTCCCACTCGCCGGCTCAGCTCAGCCAGTAGAGAGCAACGGGAGGAGAGAAAAAAAAACCCAGCTGATTGACAAAATAAAAATTACATGAGCTTTTTAAGTGCAATTCTGCGCTGCAGTCGTGGTGATGTTGACTTGCGACTAATAACTTAATTCAGTTACCCTCCGTTTTGTATGTCTACGTAAAACTATAATTCCTTTTGGTCTGTTAGCCGTGTGGACTTTGAGACTTATGTGATCCAGCAGCATTCATTAAAGCATGCCCGATTCTGCCATGGCTTTGAGCTTCAGGGTCTCATCTGTCGTCAGGATTGTGACACAAACACACGTGATTTATTCGGTTATTTTGGTAAGTGCCCTCTCTCTACACCCTGGGCCATCGGCGTGAGAAAAAAATACCGTTTCAAATCCTCACGGAGCACTACATTGGGGTGTTCTGGATAATAAATGTAATCTACTCGACAGTGGGTAAATTATGGATGATTGATTGAAGGGTTTGTTTGATTCTAAATATCCACCGATGAAAAAAACATTCATATCAATCAAGCTGTTCATTTGTCACCCCTCCAGTTTTCCCAGAGCCCCACAGCGTAAAAGTTCCGATCCCCCATCTACAACTTACTCCATTTCCAAAAACGTCAGTGTAGCGTGCGTTTTTTTGTTGTTTCGTGCTATTGGTGAATGTGGTGAACAATTTGTTTGTTCTTTGGGTGGGTGGGTAGACGGGTGTGGGGAGTGGTAGTGGAGCGGTCAGCACGCCGCGCTACGGATCCGTCGACCCGGGTTCGATTCCTGCTCACGGCCAACACCAGTGACGAATATCTGAACCGGTCCAGGGCCTCTCCTATGTCGACTCAGCCTCAAAATGAGTACCTGGTGCGGTGTGTAAACATCACCACTGGAGAGACAAAGGCGGCCGGGTGTGGTGATGTCCACCCACCCTTTCGTATGCTGTGCCGGCCTTCATTGGTGCTGCTCACTAACCACACTTGGCCCAACAGTCTCTTAAGGCTTTTCGGGGAATTGTTGTCTTTGTTGTGTGTGCCGGTGGGTTCGTGGGCGGTTGGGAGGGAGGCTTGCACTGTTGGCATGGTCGGGGTGGGGGGGAGGGGCGGAGGGGAGGGGGAAGAGGGGCGGAGGGTTTGTATGTGGTGGGGGGCGGTGGATATGGCCACTTTGGGTTTTCATTTACCTGCTCCTCGACTTAACAAGATCACCAAGGGTCCTCTGTTATTGTTGTTTTTTGTTTTCTAAAAGTGTTGAGTGTTGGTGGGCTGCCCTTTGCTACAACCTTAGTGCCCTCCTCAATCAATTGAATGGGCGTGCTCGTGGCCGCTGTGTTCTGTGTCAGTGACCCCGTAGCTCTGTGTGAATGCTTGCGCTCGCGTGCACGCGGAGAGCGGTGGGTTCAGTGGTTCGCGCAAACTGCCATTGCGGAAAACCTAGGTTCGATTCTCGGCGACGGATTAGGTAATAACGTCTACTTTGACACTTGTATTCTTTTTTAATTGTTCTATTATTCGTTATTTTGCTGGAAATCTTGTTTTTTTTTTGCATCGTTCTCGTCTGTGGCCTGACACCCAGGCCCCATGTTTCTTCACAGCAGCCGCTACAACAACGATTGTAGAGCCACCTGCGACCCCGTCCTGGGCACAGTCGTACGAGCAAGCGTGTTTGTGTGTATGCGCGTGTCTGCGTGTGTGTAAGCGCGTGTCTGTGCATGTCTGTGCGTGTACGTGCATGTCTGTGCGTGTACGTGCATGTCTGTGCTTGTGTGTGTGCACTGTGTGCATGTGCGTGTGCACACGTGAGTGCTTGTATGTATGTTGAACTTTCGCACCGTACGTAGCCAACCGTGTGTGTGTGTGTACGTACGCATTTGCGAGTTGTGCGCAAGTGTTTGTTTCACCTTGTATTGATATCCCTCCTTTCCTCCCTCTCACCTCCCCCCTCCCCTCCCTCCCGCAGGCTCAGCTCGTGGCCACGCAGCAGGAGAGGGACATCGCGTTGTCACGCTGTGACAAGCTGGAGGAGGAGATCCAGACGCTGCGCGTTTACTACAGGTGCGCGTGGCGCGACGAGCACTAGCCCCTCTCTCCTCGCGTACTTGTGGCGGAGGAGGAAAGTCCCATGTTTGTGTGTGTGTGATCCCATGCTTGTGTCTGCAGTGTTGTGGGGAGTGGTAGCGCAGCGGCCAGTGCGCTGCGCTACGAACCCGGCGACCTCGGATTCGATTCGCGCTCACGGTCAACACCAGTGACGATTATGAAAACCGGTCCTTGGCCTCCCCTCGGTCGACTCGGCACTCAAATCAGTACCTGGTGCGGTGTGTAAAAACATCAAGGCTGGCCACCCACCCCCTCTTGTGCCGTGCCGGCCTTCATAGGTGCTCGCGAACATTATCTCCTCCTACAGTCTAAGGCCTTTGTCTTTGTTTTGTCTGCAGTGGTGTCGCCGTTGAGTGTGCAGGTGGATGCAACACCGCGCCGCTGATTTTTATACCGTTCCTAGGTATTTAATTGCCGTGCATATAATTCCTTTACTCGGGGCCGATGGCACTATCAAATACCTTTAGCGGTGGGCCATGCGTTTATACAATACGCCTCCATCACTTCTACCAATGGAAGAGGCCCCTTGTAGTGATGGAAGTGACGTAAGTCTCGTTTCCAGGTTAAAAATAACCCTCTCCTGCACCTGATTAAAGCGGCTAAGATGCTTGCAGTGGCATATAAATCGCCACTGATGAATCAAACTCGGGTTTTCACCGGGCCATTTCGAAGTTGTCGGCCTCCTGTGACCATGGTGCAGTTGAACTGAATTTGTGGGCCCTGTCCAGGCCCACGAGCCAATGGATTCCCCACACCTGGTTTGGGCTGCAGCTGTGAGTGGCCACCTTAGGAGAGAGGAGGTTAACTTCTGTTGCTGGAGGCAGCAGCTGCGGCAGGGACAAAGGGAGTTTACATTATGGCCACTAAGCCAATCACTTCAGCTCAGTTGACTGGCAGTGCCCAACAAAAGGTAGTCTGGAGCCGGCTAAGGACCCGCTCTGAGATAAGGTGGCTAATTCCCCAGCCCCTTATCTTGATGGTGGCAGCTGTTCTAATCCAGCTGCTAAAAGGGCCCTTGCTGTGGCCTCAAAGGTGGTGATGGCTGTAATTGCAGGAGGGAAGGTTTGTTCAGTATCTAAATCAAACTCTTCATAATTAACAAATAAATAAAAACCAGACATTATGCCTCCTTCACATATCTGTCTCTCCGCGGAAAAATAAATAAATCTATATTTGAAACATCTCATCAGTCACACTGCCTTTTGTGAGTGCAAAATTTTACAAGGAAAATTCTGGAATGATTTTGACATTGTGTCTCATCAGCAGAGTCGTACAGCGTGAGAAGTTTAATAATAGTTCAACATTCCATGGTTCGCCGAAGACTTAAAAGATTAATTCACAATGGCCGGTACTCTAACTGGAGAGTCTCCCAGCTCCGCATTCCCGTGTTTATCAAGGTTACCGAACGCCGAGACAAGGTCGCAGTATGAGATAGAGAGCTGACCTTTATTTGTGTGCAGGTAAGAGCCCCCACTTGTTTTTGGATCGTAAAAGTAAGTGCAGGGGCTCAGGCAGAACACGTCTCGAAGAGACGATGATGGCCAGTGGACAAGACCAACAATAAAGTGGTGGACAAAGGGAACATGGCCCGGGAGGACGTCCACCGTGCAGAGATGGAGCGATGAAATTGGTTCATGTGCAGGTGCAAGAGATGGATTGTTCAATCGTGAGACCATGAGAGACGCTGACGGCTTGCGGGGCGAGGGGGGGAGGGGTAGGCCTTTATTCAGCAGTGAATAGATAACGGCTGATTATGATGATGTACTGAAAAGTACTGTGGACCTAATGACTACATGCTCCTCGCCTGCAATGGTTCTGAATCAAATTAATTCATCTCATGATTTGCTATAACGGAGCTGTTGGTTAACACTCGGTGCGCCGCTCGCCTTTGTAATTTCAAAAGTAACTATACTCATCGAGTCGCGTGGTGTCAATCGGAATATAATTTGTACGACAAAATAGCGAAAGTTTAACGCGTGATTGTTGTCGTCGTCAATCACGTGTACACAGCCTCCACAAGTCTCTGTCCCAAGAGACGGGCAGCCTTGGCGAGCGACGCGGCGGCAATAACAGCCACGACGGCAACCACCACGGCAACCACGACGGCAACCACGGCAACTCCGACAGCGGCGGCAGCGCCGGGTCGCGCTCGCCGGACGGGGCCAAGGGTCCCGCCGCGGCGGGGTCGGCGCACGGGGAGGTCGAGCGGGGTCATGGACACCCGCCGGACGGGCGGCTGCAGGAGGCTGAATCGGAGCGTGACGCCCTGCGGGCCCGGCTGCTGCACGCCGAGCGTGACCGCGCCGTCGCCGACGACAAGGCGGAGAGGTAACGTCCGGCGATGGCGACGGCTCTCGTGGATTCAAATGTTTTGTTGTACGTGCTGTCCAGCTAAGGTTGGCAGCCATGGTGGCGAGATGTTAACTGCCTCGCCTGGTGTGCAGGAGGTCATGGGTTTGATCCTGATATTTGGAGTTTGCATGTCCCTCTCTCTGTGGTTGCGTGGATTTTTCTCCGGGTCTTCCGGTTTTTCCCTCCACATTTAGAAGCAACACACATTTAACGTATTTGGCTGCTAAATTATCCGTGTGATAATCCACTCCGTTGAGATATAATTTGTGGAAGCCAGGTCGCTTCTGAAAAAGGGCTATATAGCTCAATGGACCTTACCTGGTAAAATAGAAAATTGTTTAGTTCATATTTTAATTTGGTGATTCTGCATTGGCAGGGGTGCACAAGCACAACAAATAAAAATCTCACACTGTGGCCTTCAAAGATGAAAAAAAACGTGGTTTATATGCTCTAAAGATAAGCCATTGCCCAAAATGTCACCTATAAAATATATTTATTTTTCTCCTTTTAAGGCCACAGTTACTAACGAATGTGAGTTATTCAATGTTAACAAAACTTAACTCTCAGTATCCTACTATTTCGGGACTAACGCTATTAAAACTGGCCACAATTGATCAAGGACGTTGCCCAGAACTTGGGAGGCGCAAGCCACAGCAAAAAAGACTCATTTGCGAATATGCAAACTGAATTTTCCCCAAACCCACCGGTTCGCGCTGCGCTCTCCGGCTGGGCACGGTGGATCGTGTGTCGATGGCGAACGAGCTTCAGATGACCAAATCCTTTTTGCCTGCACCGCTTCGCCGTCGTTTGACGAGCTGTCGGTATGACGGCATGCCATTGCGGGCATTCGCAACGCTCGATAAGTGGGTGTGGGTTTGTGTGTGGGCAGCTTTACGAAAGTCCTTGAAAAGATTTTCTCCGCGCAGTAACAACACAAACAACAATGTGTAAAATCTTTTAAAAGGTTTTTCCCTCTTTAAGTGGCATTGAAATTTCTTTTTTTTACCGTCAGAGAACCCGTAATGTGTAAATTTGTTGACGTATCTGGCATTGCAATTGGGCATCGTAATACACACTCTTTAAACAAACAGCGCCATAAAGATAAGCGTGCGGCGCACTGGAGGCTGATGGGATATTTGTGTGCGTGTTTATCTCCTCTCTCTCCAGGTTGGAGAGATTGGTTGGAGTTCTGCGCAAAAAGCTGGCTCATCAGACGTGACGTGACAGTGATGTCATCTGCACCAGCATCAACATCATTAGCGGTGGCATCGTTGCTGCCATCGGCTGGACCCTGAGCATCATTCATCATCAGCAGGAGTATTAACACGCCAATGTAACTGGCGTTATTAATGCCAGCAGTACCATTGGTTTCATAATCAGCAGTGTCTTAATCATCAGTAGCAGTAGCATTGCGTTGAGCAAAATCGTCATCGACACCAATAGCATCATTATCATAAGCAGCAGTATTTGCATTATCATTGCGATCATCTGCAATAAAAGCAGCCTCAGGAAGCAGCATCTTCATCATTAGAATCGTCACCCCACCACCATCAGCAGCAGTATTATAGGATAACCGTCAGCATGGACAGAATCATCAAGGGCAGTGCTATCATCATCCTCAGCAAGGAGTAGCACCAGCTTCTAGAAGCTGTATCATCTTTGTCATCAAGAGCAGTGCCATAATTATCAACAGCAGCACAGTATTAGCAGCATCTTTATCAGCAGCAGCATTATCAGGAGCTGTGTCAACATCATCGTGAGGAGTGGGTCTATAATCTTAGCTCTGATCATCTCTCATCCTCCACCCTACTGCGTGTGACATCATGGAGGGTAATACCTGTCTGTTGCTGCTGAGGTTGCACACAACGCAGTGCAGAGATGGGATGTAACCCGATTAAGTAATCGATTACTCTCCCGGTTATCGTTTCGATTAACTAGGCTAATCGGATAGCGGTTGTAAAATGAAAAGGTTTCACCGCCATTCCAACATGTGCCGAAGGACGGGTGGTGAGGGGCTCGACTTGGGTACGAAATCGGCATCGTCACGCCAGGCGTGGCTCGTGGTTGGGTGGGTTTACCTTCAGGAGACGGGATATGTTTGGGAGATGGTGGGGAGGGACCTTTTTTTATTTATTATAGTAGCCAGATTAATCGACCACAGAAAAAAACTAGTTGATTGCAATTTTTTTATTGCTTCATCATCCCAGCTCTAAACCAGTGTTGGCAGCTTAAGGGCCGAGCAGTAGATTTTCCTGTCCGCCATACGTTTTTAAATGCTGCAAACAAAGAATTTCAGGCACGGTGTAGCCGCGGTTGTGGGTTAGCCGTGTGTGTGTGGAGGTGTAACGAAGAATCCATGCACGCGTCAAAAATATTGTGCAGCAGTAAAGAATTTGGTGTTTTTCTATCCGTTGCGCGGCGCGTGTACGTAGCGGATTTAACGTCACCCCCGCTTCAGCTAAGTTCGCAAGAATGTAAAGGAATGTTTCTCGAATCGAACCGCGACGCCGAACAGCGACAAGTGGCGGTGGCTAATTGTCGTTTCACCGCTGTTGGCGGTCGATTCGATGTTTGTGAAGCGAGAGAGGGGGGGCTTGCCTTCGAGTTAAAAGGGTCGATGATGTTGAATTTGCTGTATTCGAGTGTTGTTACAAGCGTACGATGCAAATGTTTTATTTCAGAAATTTTTTGTACACTTTACAAAAAGAGTAAAGTCAAACAGTATTTAATTGTAAACACTCGGGAGGCTGGGTGGCCAGTGATAAAAAAAGTGTTTAATTATGAATAAAAAATTATTATTGGTGAAGCCCCCTTTGTTTCATCCACTGCTGGATTAAGGCCTGTCCATGTCGGTGACATGCGATTGGTTTGACCATACTTCACCACGCTGGTCAGTGTCGGTTGGTGCAGGCAAGTGTGGGGGGAGGGGGGGGGCGAGGACCAGGACAGGCTCAGATTTGACTCCCCACTGCTGATAGTCGTGGGCGGGAATCAAACTCGGGGTTTCACCGAATCCAGAGCGCAGTGCGCTAACCACTGTGCCACCACTCCGCAACCAAAACATTGTATGTTGAACTTCTTTTGCACCGTACATAGCCAACCGTGCTAATCGGAGGTGCCGGAAACATGTATTTAATCACCACCAATTGTACGTCCACATTAGTTTGCGATTCACGTGTTTTTTTTATACTTTATATATATGTACACAATGTTTATTTAAACAGCTTTTTTATCAAAGTCCAGCGAGGGCAGACAATGATCGCGACCGATGATGAAAACCGCTCTAAAAGTATTCATTTTATGATATCGAATTTAATTGACGGTCACATGGGGTGTGCACGCGCCCGTCTTAATTGTGACGTACGTATCGATGTCTTCAGTCACATGGCGAGTGTGTGTCATAAAATCAGTCGGTTGTAGACTTCAGTATTTATTTTGTCGTGATTGCTAACCTGCAATAAACTATTGCCGAGTTTTCAAGTTTGTGCCGTGGTTCGCTGCCACATGTCTGTGTTTGCGTCTGAGCCTGTATCTGTGTGTGTGTCTGCAGATCGGTGTCTGTGTTCGTCTGTTCACTTTTGTGTATTGGGGTCTGTACCTTGTCAATGTGTGAATGTCTGGTACACGTCTGTGTCTGAGTGAAACCAATCAATACTCCGCTCTTTCTCTTATAAAAGCCCGGCGTTCCGTTTGTCCATCAACTAAATTGTGAGAGCCTTCCAGAAGGTCCGAATCAAAAAGGTAGAGAAAGTGGACCCACTCCCCACGTTTGGGGGAAAAAAGTTGATCCAACAGTTTAAAAAAAAATTGTAGACCCCCCTCCCCCCCTAGATTTTTTTCACTCCCCACCACACCACCCCCACCTCAAAGAAGAGGACATCAGTGGGGGCGACGGGCGAGGCGCGGAGCGTTGATGAGAACTTCCGACGATCTTGAGCACGCAGAAATTCTGGTGTCTAAGATCAACAGCAACAGCCATGGATCGATCCACCGCCGTCGTCATCTGTCACGATCCTACGATGTAACGATCCACCAAGCCACGTGCACAACAACACGAGCTGAAGTTCACCGCTCCGTCTCCTGTGTGTCTGTGTGCTCGCGTAACGCACGCGTTCCTATCCCTCGGCTTCAGAAGATGACGTTACTCATCGTGACGGATCGAGTCGTCAGTTCACACAACACGCGTTCATAACGCCGGCGCGTGTCCATGCATACGTAGTGAACATTTATAACTTTATTTAAAACAATAATTTACATTTTAGGAACACGTGGGTTGAAACGACGACTGCATCAAAACAACACCGCGGTGTCTTGCTTGCAAAAGAAAAGTGCACACACGTTCAATTTTAGACTGAAAACTTTCGTGACTGCAGGAATTCATATTTCTTGGTTCTTTCGGTAAAGTCACGTTGATAGAAGACGTAAAAAATGAAAATAAAATAAAAATGAGAAAATAAAAATAATCAAATAATAAATTGAAAAAAATTAAAGCAAAAAACCAACGACGTTTCGATCGCAACACAAGCGGTCTTTCTATTTCTTATTTTAATTGTATCCTTATTTATATTTTATTTTCATTTTTTGGTTCTCTTTACTTGACTTTACCGAAAAAATCAAGAATATGCACACACGTTGTCTCTCTGTGTTGTGTCCAATATCCGGGGCTTCATCTTCTCAAGGAAAGTTTTCCGGGGGCAGCCCAACCCTGACGACCTCGACCCGGCTGGGTATTTAAGCCCTGGTTCGTTTTTATTATCCATGCACAAGGCCGAATTCACAAGTCGTGTTTGGCTAGTCCGCTTCAATCGTCGGCCAATTGTTGATTGATTGAAACTCGACAATATTTTTAGGTCGTCTTGTCATCAACCAACGATCCCATGGTTGGTGGTGGTGGATAACTGAAGCAGAAGATCTGTTGCGCAAAACGCGATTCGCAGCCACACGGAATGTGTGCAGAGGCAGAGCCGTCACTCTCGTACGGCGAATCTGGGTGACCGCCCTGGGCCCCGCGCTTTGGGGGTGGGGGGGCACACAGGGTGCGGTTTACCCTGGGACCCGCACCCCCCCTCCCATGGACTGCCCTGGATATAGGGGAGCAGTGGCGCAGTGGTCAGCACAGTGCGCTAGGAACCGAGCGACCCGAGTTCGCTTACGGCCAACATCACCTAGGTCGACTCGGCCTCAAACGAGTGATCTACTGTGATGTGTAAGCATCGCCACTGGGGAGACAAAGACGGCCGAGCTTGCTGCTGGCCAACCCACCTGCTCGTGTGCCGTCCCGGCCTTCAACAAATACTGGCTAACAGCACTTGCCCCAAAAAGTCTCCGAGGCTATGAGGCTATGGTATCAGTGTGCGCGGGGCTGAATTTCGATTGGAGCTGTCCGGGGCTGAGTTCTGGAAAATATGTCGCGTGACGCCCTCTCCCCGACTCGCATTTTTTTTTTAAGTCGAAGCAAACTCCATTATTCCCTCTTACCCGTGAAACCAACATTTTTTAACGCCACTAATTAACCACGCGTGCAGCCCTGCCCGTTTTGTATGTAGCCTATGTACACGTTGTCTTAATGCTGTATATATGTATGTACACGGACTGTATATTTGCCATTGTTGAAGTTAATACAGACAACGCACACACTCGCCCGCCTAGAATTATAATACAGAGAGGCACGACTGAATGAATATTAACAACACGTGCACGCGTGCGTTCGGTCAGCAGAGACATGGGTCACTCAACACACGTGACGCAAAGAGATACGTCAGAGATACGTCATAGGATATGCCTCACCAGACACACGTGCGAGTTACATCAAGAAAATCACGTGTAAATCGGACACACGCCACTTATATATGCCATCACACGCATATATTGCATCGCACATGAACGCTAAACGTGTTGAACATACACACACACGCTCACATAAATATTAAAACACACCAGTTACAAAAAATCGTAACCATACACACACACATACGTCCTAAATCAGAAACATTAATTTACAGACAGTAAACACACGCGGACATATTACGCAAGACATCACAAAACAACGTTCCCAACACTTTGTAGACACGTCATCATTTTCCGACACAAAGACCCCCCCCCCCCCCCCCGTTTTGCCTTGACCCTGCTGTTAGTGCAAGTTGCTATAAGCGAGCGCCTATGAAGGCCGGAACGGCACACAAGCGGTGGTGGGGGTGGCAAGCATCACGCCCGGCCGCCTTTGTCTCCCTAGTGGCGGAGCGAGAGAGAGCGGAGTGGTTAGCGCGCTGTGATAGGCTTGGGCCGCGAGGTGGCCTTAAGGTTGGCCAGATGTTAACTCCCTCGCCTGGTGTACAGAGTTTCATTCCCACTCACGGCCAACACCGGTGACGAACCGGTGACGATTATCTTAACTGGTACTGGGCCTCCCCTAGGTCAACGCAAGCCTCAAATGAGTACCTGGTGCGGTGTGTAAACATCGCCACGAGAGAGACAAAGGCGGTCGGACGTGGTGTCGGCCACCCACCCCCTCATGTGTTGTGCCGGCCTTCATATGTGCTCCGAGCTAACAGCACTTGCCCCAACAGTCTGTTAAGGCTATAAAGGGGATCATTGTATGTTTGATATTAAACAACACACGTGTACATACATCAGAACTTACATATACACCATCAAACACCATCGGACCAAAGTGTTAATACACGTAAACCAAATACACCAGTCACCAAATATTACACAATCCACCAGATCCTGCGAACATACATCAACAGGAACATCTCTCACCAGATTACAGGAGAATCAACACACACACATTCGTCAACAGCACTGTATGTGACCTTGAAAGGAAAACAAATATGTAGAATGTCTGACGTTTCGGGAAATGGCCCTTCGTCATAGGACATACTCAGAGACCGGAGTGATAAAGTGCATACGACTTGGAGACCGCACCTCATACAACGGGGCTTCTGTAATTATGTGCTGTGAAGAAGCGTCATTGCCCGAAACGTCGCCTATCATAACCGTATTATTAATTTAATTCAGTGTTATTGAAACCGAACGTGTTGAGTTTTTGTTGTTGTTGTTGTTTGTGCTTGTGCACCATTACCAACGCAACAGCATCACCAAATAAACCAAACAAAATCCTGTCTCTGTGCAAGCTTGTCCTGTATATTAATATTTGCCGACAGCATTCGTCATATTTCACAACGAATTGACATCTGTGTGTGTGTGTGTATCAACCCGTGGCGCCTGGGTCTGTCCCGTGACCTCGTTGCCGGCGAGCCTTCGACAACACTTCACGTGGCCTTCAAAGTGCACCTAGCCTGGCACAAGCGCCGTGGTGACATCACCACAACTTAGTGGTGAATGGTGGCAGCTGTTGTCGACGCGAGGCGTGTAGGGTGCAATCGGCTGGGATTATGTGACACTGCACGGCCTGGGTTTCACGTTCTTGGAATTAACGCGGCATTAAAATCTTCGTTCGCAATTATTGTTCCTGACGGTTTTTGTTGTTGTTGTGCACATTGCGGTGAATGTAGCGGCCTCTAGCGGCTGCAAGGATCCTTCCGCATCATCATCCATCAGCCACCACAGCCTTGATTCTTGTCCACTGTTGGATGGAAGCCTCTCTCTTCGCCGTCGTCGCCATCTCTCGTGATGTCACATTTCCTAACCGCGTGAGATGACCCATCGCGTCGCTCCGTCTCCGCGAGTGGTCACCGCGAGTGGTCACCGCGTGTCGGCGGGCTCGTCCATCGCTCTCCTGCGCCTCGACCATTCCCTCGCCATCGTGAATGTGCCCGTGCCGCCAGTCGACCTAAGTCTTCCATGACCGCCCGATGTCGATGTCTCGTTCAGCGCGTGCGGATCGGAAACACGGATTTCGTTTTTGACATGCGAACATGGCGATCGTGTGTGTGCGTCGTCGTCGTTTTAGCTTATGAATCGATTCAACCTATTCACCTATTCTCGTCTATATATGTAGCCTTGTTCGGGGTATACTTTGAATTCACCTCGATGTTGTACGCACGCGTTTTTCATGCCACTTATCGTGGAACCTTGCTTATTGATGTGAATTGATGCACAGATAGAGTCATCGTGACACCGCTCATCATGGGCTCAATGTTCATCATCTTTGCGCATGCACGAATCAATAATATTCGTTCGAATTCTGTTTATTGTGTGCGAGTTGTGGCTGTTTCTCATAGTGCTGTATGCATTGTGCTGTCCGTAAAAATGTCACCCATTATTTTATAGTGACTATAAGGCAAATGTGTGGGTGTAGATAAAACTATACCAAAACTTCCCTCTAAACCTCTACTCTGCAAACCTGAGTTCGATTCCAGGCCACAGCCAAGACTCACGAGGGATACCCCGGCCGCCCCTCCCCTCTCCCCCATTCACCAAGCCGCACTGACCAGCGTGGTGAAGTATGTTCGCACGTCGCCCCCCATGACAGATGATGGGGTGGGGAGACATTTATCCAGCAGCGGATGGACTAAAAGGCCGTGTTCATATCCTATTAACCTTTTAAAATATTTCTCCTGGACTATCCCTTGAGATGGAACACCTCGTTTGAATTGGGGTGGTGCAGGGTGTTGATTCACCTTCATGAATGGATACCTCTATGAATGGATGACACCTTTATAAATGGATGACACCTTTATGAATGGATAATACCTTTAGAAATGGATGATACCTTCATGGACACCCTGCTAGATACATCACGCACACACACACATGCACGCTCACCGATGAGAGGTCTGATATAATCACGAATTCATGAGTGGCCGGGCATACAGACCTCTGTAGACTGCTGGGTCAGTGGTGCCGATGGACGTGTGTTCCATCAGTGTCTTCCCGTGTATGGCCGCGTGCATCTCAGACTCGTACCCGGACAATCCATGCACTACCTGCTCATAGCCCTTGTAATCCATCCTCTGCTGATGCTGCTGCTGCTGTTGTTGCTGCTGCAGCAGCTGCTGCTGCTGTTGCTGATGCAGCTGTCCAGAAGAAATGAGGCTGGTGATTGAGAACGGGTGGCTAAAGTAGTTGGGGTCCATCTTAAGGTGCAGAGAGGCCGGATCGGTTGCGCTGTGCTGCTGCTGTTGCTGTTGATGATTCTGCTGATGATGATGATGATGCTGCTGCTGCGGATGCTGCTGCTGCTGCTGATGGTGGAGGCTCTGGAGTAGCGGCGGCAGGACCAGCGCGCCGTCCTGGCGGCTAGAAGACGAGACCATGGCCTCGGCTGGCGGCGAGTCCTCGTGATGGTGCAGAGCTGAGGCCGAGCTTGGCCGAGGCTGCTGCTGCTGTTGCTCCATCTCCTCCGCACGGCTACTCTGCAGTTCACCTCCTTGCTGCTGCTGCTGCTGCTCACCGCAAGCGCTCCTGGCCGTCTTCGCCGTCCCTTTCTTGTCGCACTTGAAGCGCTTCTGCCGACGCAGGTAGCAGCCGTTTTCGAACATGTTCCCCGAGTCCGGGTGGAGCGCCCAGAAGGAGCCCTTGCCCGGCTTGTCGGGCGAGCGCGGCACCTTGACGAAGCAGTCGTTGAACGAGAGCGAGTGGCGGATGGAGTTCTGCCAGCGCTGCTGGTTCTGCCGGTAGAAGGGGAAGAGGTCGGTGATCCACGAGTAGATCTCGTTGAGCGTCAGCATCTTGCCGCTCGACTGCTGGATGGCCATGGTGATGAGCGAGATGTACGAGTACGGCGGCTTGGCGTGCGTGTAGCTCCGCCGGTAGCCCTTGAACGCCGCGTCCTGCGCCGGGCCGCGCGCGTCCCCCGCCGCGCCGCCGCCGGCGCCCTGCAGCAGGAAATCCTCGCCGCCGTAGGGGTCACCTCCGAGGGGGCTTCCGCCGCCGCCGCCGACGCCGACGCCACTGCCGCCCATGAGACCCCCGTAGCCGCCTCCTTGCAGGGCGCCGGGCGCCGTACCGCTCTGCTGCATCACCCCGCACAGCTGCGGGGATGTCGTGGTGGAGCTCTGATGATGATGCTGCTGCTGATGATGATGATGCTGCTGTTGCTGCTGTTGTTGCAGGGAGCCGTATGTGGGGAGCGCCACGGAGGACGGTGTCTGCAAGGCCCCGTGCATGTGGCCCATGTGGTAGCCGTTCATGGAGACGAGGCCGCCCAGACCCGCGTTCATGGCGGCGGAGGTGCTGTAGGCCTGCAAGTCCCCACGGAACAGCGAGACACGGGCGGGCAGGTGAGGCGCGTGTGTCTGTGTGTGTCTGCGTGCGCGTGTGTGGCATAGGGGCTCACTAACAGCACTTGCTCCAACGGTCTGTTAAAGGCTATACGGGTCATTTTTGTCTTTGTGCGTGTGTGTATCAACTCAGCCACAAATGAGTTCCTGGTGCGGTGTGTAAACACCGTCACTGGGGTGACAAAGGCGGCCGGGCGGGTGTGGTTCTGGCCACCCCATGCCCTCGTGTGCCTTCATAGGTGCTCGCTAACAGCACTTGGCCCTACAGTCTGTTAAGGCTATACGGGGGATCTTTGTCTTTGTGTCAACTCAGCCTCAAACGAGTCCCTGGTGCGCGTTGGTGCTTGGTCACCCACCCCTCGTGTGCTGTGCCGGCCTTCATGAGACTTCGCTAAACCGATTGCTTCAAACAATCTGTGTCGGCTCTATGGGGTATCTATGTCATCGTGCGTTGTGAGTTTAGCATATGTGAGTACATGGCTGTGTGTCGTTTTTGGGGGAGAGGTGGCGTAGCAGTTGACGCACTGCGCTACCAACCCACAGCCCTCAGCGGCAAGTGATGTCTGACCAAATTCTCCACCTCCCCCGCTAAGCTGAACGCCACGTCCGGCCGCCTTTGTCTCCCCAGTGCTGATGTGTACACGCCGTGCACCTGGCACTTCATTTGTTGCCATATTTTGGTACTGGCAAAGGAGGTCCTATGATGTAGATGCTCACCCCGAGCTCTCATTACTCTGAGAGTGGCATTGTCTTTGAGCTGTTCGCCTTTTGGCGTCATCTGGTCTAACACCGTTTGAGACGAGGCTCAAAAGAAAGCTGTCTCTGGTGTGGACCAATCAGTTTCAAGGACAATGCATATATTATCAGAGTGTGTTTTTGTTTGCATCTGACCACCAGTATTGCGGTTAATGCAGACATGATTCCTTGTAAAAGGTTTCAGTTTGGTGTTTTAACATCTTAACACCTGTTTTGTTGCCAGAAAAAAGGGGAAAACCTCTTCTCATATTTTGGTACTGGCAAAGGAGGTCCCATAATGTACTTAATTTAAGGTTGAGTTTATCTAGGGGAGGCACGGGACTCGTTCAGAAAGCGGTTTGCGCGGTCGGGAATCTAACTCAGGACGCCGGGCTCGAAGCGATGGAACGATTTGGTCGTGTGGCAAAAAGTGCTCGCTAATAGCACTTACTCATCAGAGTCTATATAAGGCTACGCGGGGGATCTTTGTCTGCGTATGCTTATGGCGTGTTACCCCCCCCCCCCCCCGCGTGCCGTGCCGCTCTTAATAATTAACACACAAAGGCAACCGTTCACCGTGTACCCTTACGTAGAATGTCGGGGTAAGTGCCTGTTAGCGAGAACCTATTTGCCAAAACGATCAAATGATCTGGAACGCGCGCCACGATCTCGTCGGAGAATATGATGATAAGCAGGAGAATCAAGCCTGTTTATAACTTACTCTGTGGTTCTTTCGGTAAAGTCACGTAGGTAGAAATAATAATAATGAAGGAAAACACGACGTCTCTACGTGACTTTACCGCAAACAACCAGAGAGTATAGATTCCTGCAGTCACGAAAGCTTCAAATCAAGATTGTTTATCACTTCTTCTTGGTTCTTTCGGTAAAGTCACGTAGAATGGAAATAATAAAATAATAAAAATAAAACATAATAAAATAATTCTCACGACGTTTCGGCCACAACGCAAGCAGCCGACCTCAGGTGGATTATGTTTGATTTTCATTAATTTATTATTTCCATTCTAAGTGACTTTACCGAAAGAACCAAGAAGATGAATCCCTGCAGTCACGAAAGCTTTAAATCGATGTTTATCACTTGTATCGGGAGGCTGCCTGGGCATGCCAGGCTTGGGCTGCGAGGTGGCCTTAAGATTGGCACCACGGTACGCAGATGTTAACTACCTCTCTTGGTATACAGGAGGTTGTGGGTTAGATTCCGACACTGACGCCTGCTGCTGTAAATTTGGTGTTTCCATGTCTCTCCCCGTGGTCGCGTGGATTTTTCTCCGGATCCTCCGAGTTTTGACTCCACATTCGGAATCAACATGACGCGTTTCGAGTGTTTGGCTGCGAAACATTTCCACGTGATGGTAAAATTTAAACATAGTTCAGTATAGTTTCGTTTAAGACGGCCAGTATTCTTGAGTTAGTCTGTTGCGGAGATTTGAGCGGTTTCCCCTTTGTATGCGTGGGGTTGACGGAGTTTTTCCATCTCATATCGGAATCAGAATATTTATTAATACTGGAGGAATCCAAGCGTAAGAAACGCAGGTCTCTCTTGAACATAAGTTTTGAGTCCCAATGAAGCTCCCCCTGCACGATAAAAGGTGCGTTATTAATAATAGGCGCTCTATCATAGTACTTGCTCCGATGGTCTGCATGGTTACACGGGGATCTTTGTATTTGTATGTAGGGAGCGGTGGTGCAGTGGTTTGTGCATTACGCTTCGTTACTGAAGTCCGATGGTCTGCATGGTTACACGAGGATCTTTGTATTTGTATGTAGGGAGCGGTGGTGCAGTGGTTTGTGCACTACGCTACGTTACTGAAGTCCGATGGTCTGCATGGTTACACGAGGATCTTTGTATTTGTATGTAGGGAGCGGTGGTGCAGTGGTTTGTGCACTACGCTTCGTTACTGAAGACCGGGGTTCGATTTGCCTCCCACGAACAACATCAGTGGCAGACAGGCGAACCTCTAGACCAGTGGTTCTTAATCTTTACTGCAGCCGCCACCCCTTTGGTACTCAATTGTTAACGACATGTAGAATGTTAATAAACACTCACGGGTTTGATGAAACAATGTAGTTGTGATTGCGTAACCGTGCCTAACTTTTGTTTTCGATTATTTACCTTCGAAAAAAAAATCTGGCCCATGTCTCGCACCCCCAGAAAGGGCATCTCGCACCCCAAGGTTAAGAAGAAGAAGAACCACTCCTCTAGATCGACTTAACCTGAAACGAGTCGCTGGTACTCGTTGCGCCGGCCACGTCACTCGTTCCTAACCCTATCGGCCCTCGCCCCAACAGTTTCCATGCGCACTCGATGGTGGTGACGGTCTTAGGTTTTAAATAATTAGGAACGGGAATGGATACACACACACATATGTACGGTATGTGTAACACTAACGAGCCCTTTGGTAATTACCTTCTTTAGCTACTTAACAATTTTATTAACAGCGAATTAAGGATACAATTAAGTTGTGCTTGATTTGGTTTAACGTTTGCTCGAGAGTAACATTTTCATACGCACGGTGTACAACTATTATTCCCGGCTTGTGAAAATATTGTTTCCTATCGTATATGTATTGTACGTGTGTTACATATATATATGTACAATTAAGTATACATTTTGTACGCAGTATTCGAGTTGTACGCATGAGTTTCTATGCACGCCGACCGATAAACAGAATATAATATACAGGAATCATTCCCATAATTATGAAATAAATCGAACGTTTAGTTTCAGTCCATCCCCCTAATTCACCCTTCGAACCAATATTACAGAGCAAAAAAACTCGCCATATCCGTCAATAACAGTGTGTGGCCATTAAAGGAAATATAAACCATAGGCGACGTTTCGGGCAATAACCCTTCATAGCACATGACCAAACAGGATCCATGATGTAAAGTGCAGTCTCAAAACTCTTATCCGCTCTATCTGGCCTGCTGAAGAAGGGGCATTGTCCGAAACGTCGCCTGTTACATATTTTCCATGTTAAGACCACACATCCAGTGTTATTGACGAATGCATTGATGGTTGTTGTTGTTAATTGTGCTTTTGTAACACTGCCGATGCTGCAGCAGCACCACCGATGTTATACAGGGTGATTCAAATGTTTTTAACACTTATTTGGGACGATCGTTTTTTAATGGAAAATAACGGATAATCCACCGTAACATGATAACAAATGTAATGTTAATAGCTTCAAAAAGTCAAAGAGTCTCCCACTTGTTTGCCATCGTTGTCAACGCGTGCCTGGAATCTTCTCCAGGTGGTGTTGTTGCAAATCCTCAGACGCGTTAAACATTCATACTCTTAGTTCTTTCGGTAAAGTCATGTAGGTAAAAAAATGAAAATAAAATTAATACAAATAAAATAATAAAATCACGACGTTTCGGAGGCAACGCATCTGATGCAGCAAATATGGCTGTGACGGTCCCACCTGATGACGGAGACTTGTGTTGCCTCCGAAACGTCGTGATTTTATTATTTTATTTTTATCAATTTTAATTAAATTTTTTACCTACGTGACTTTACCGAATGAACTAATGGTATGAATCCTTGCAGTCACGAAAACTTCAAATCTAGAATGTGTTAAACATTGTTTTGCTGCGTCTGTTATTAAACACCGGAACCTTTGGTCCGGTTTCGTCGTTTACGGGTCTCATCAGACACGTAGACGGCGTACCAACGGAGGCCTGTTCATTTATTTGAGGAATGTTGCACGCTAATTACAATTGTACGCCCCTGACCTATCAAACGGCTTTAATGGACGGAACATTTAACAACTCAAATGAGTCGAATGCATACCACGTTAATTAATACACTTTGCGAATTTAACGGTACTCTTTCTTAAAATGTATTGTTACAGAACTATAAACAATTATAATTTAATCACCATTCACTCTCCAGAAACAATACCAATTCAACCCTAACGCACTTCTCAGATGCTGCTGCTGTGGAGCGGTGGCGCAGCGGTTAGCGCAACTGCGCTTTAAACTCAGCGGCGATCTGATTATGAGTTCGATTCCCAGTCACGGCTAACATCATTAGCGAGTGATATTCAAATACGTGCTGCTTCATCCCTACCTCCCTCACCGATGTAACCAACCCGTATTGACCAGCGTGGTGAAGTATGGCTAAACGACCCCTAAGACCAATACGGGCACAAATAATGCTTCATCCAGCAGTGTCAATGGATTATTAGAATTATTAACATGGGTTCTAGTTTAATTACATATATTAGCAATGGTTCACTTAATAAATGACACGGACGTTCAGACGGCAGAATATAAACAAAGAACAATAGTTCAGTGAACAAAATATATTTGTAAATATAATGCACATTTAGAACCATTTTTGCCCAATCCACTGCTGGATGAGAGAGCCTTTGCACGCTGTTGCGGGTCGTGGGAGTTTACTTGACCATACACCACCACGCTGATCAGTGTGAGTTGGTTAAGTTAAACAATACACATATATACAAAGACAAAGATCCCCCGTATAGCCTTTAACAGACTGTTGGGGCAAGTGTTGTAAGCGAGCACCTATGAAGGCTGGAACGGTACACGAGGGGGTGGGTGGCCAGCACCACGCCCGACCGCCTTTGTCTCCCTAGTGGCAATGTTTACACACCGCACCAGGTACTCAATTGAGGCTGAGTCGACCTAGGGGAGGCCCGGGACCGGTTCAGATAATCGTCACTGTTGGTGTTGGTGTTGGCCGTGAGCGGGAATCGAACTCGTGTCGCCGGGTTCGTAGCGCAGCGCGCTAACCGCTACACTACCGCTCCCCACTATATATATACACACACACACACATTCATTTATAGATACCCCAAAATAACCAAGAAGATGAACCCTATGTGTCCTGACTTTTGTGCGGCCACCACCCCGTATAGTTCGTGCTTTGTCTGTAGCACTGCCAACACTGACCGCAACGCTCCTCCAGGTGGTCCGCGATGCTGTGATGCATTTGCAGGTTGATCCGGAAATAATCACGATGTTTATTGCTTTTTAACACGACACGTAGTAGTAGTAGTTGTAGGCTTTCGCGAACAATATTTTCCACAAGAGGTTTTTTTTGGGGGGTTAGATCGCGTCCATGTAAATGTGTCGTTAATCCAGCCACCACCCGCACACAGACAATTCGTAAGGGTTGCCACGTAAACATACGTGCCAATTTGTGCGGATTCAGAACACCGGTGTGTTGGAGAGTAAACACACAACATTTAGTATTTTTACTGATTGGCCGTATCCGGTTGTTGCGGTTTTAACAACACGTAGGCGATCTAACCCAAAAAAAACTCTATTATGGATTTATAAACTTTGTTTCGGACATTAAAGTAATGTTTAACTTATGATGTTTAATAAAAAAAAATAAGTTAGGTAAACCACCATGATTAAACTACCCCAACCCTAAGATCGAAATACCACACCCTCCCCCTAAAATAAACATTATTGCTGCGATTTAAAGCTTTCGTGACTGCAGTGATTCATATTCTTGCTTCTTTCGGTAAAGTCACGTAGAAGGGAAACAATAAAGTAATAAAAAATGTATTGTTTTATATTTTTATTATTTTATTGTTTCCCTTCTACGTGACTTTACCGAAAAAAAAAAACACGAATATTATAGCTGTGTTTAAACAAAAAAAATACGTTTCGGGAATATGAATAATTTTATATTCCTGGTATTTAGAAAGATACGTTCATTCGTTTTGTAACCAGGGATGGAGGAGGGGGAGAATGTTTGAATCGGCTGAGTAAGAGCGAGCATGGACCGGGATGACCAAAGGATCGATGCCCTTTCTGGCACTGGCAATGTGCTGTAGCCCCTTACCACCTCTACTCTATATATTTTTTGTTATTTTTCTCTACATATTTTGTTTATTTATGAAATTATCTACGCAGCCGCGGCCCTGTCGCCTGCCCCGCCTCACCTGAGTGTGAGAATAAACTAAACTATAAACGAGTGGTCCGCGCGTCGAACACAGCTTTGAGAAACGCTCACAACGGAGTCATCGTCGTCATCTGGCTCCGCGTCTCGTCGGATAAAACGCGCGAGAGAGGGAACCAAGAACACGTAGGCTTTCGCGACCAATATTATTCATAATAAACGTTTTTGGGTTTAGATCGCGTTATTTATAAATGTGTCGTAACCCTCCACCACCCGACACGGCCAATCAATAAAAAAAGTGTCACATTGACAAAAGACAAATGGTTCACTGCTTTAGCCCACATTCTGGCGAATTGCCTGATGATGCTGGATGCAATTACCAGCGAAACGTCGTACTACTCAAATTGTAAATGTTGTGGTTTCACGCTTCAACACACCGGTGGGCTAAAGCAGTGAACTATTTGTCTTTTGTCAACGTGACACTTTTTTGCTGATTGGCCGTGTCGGGTGGTGGAGGGTTACGACACATTTATAAATAACGCGATCTAAACCCAAAAACGTTGATTATGAGTGAACCAAGAAGTTTCCCGTGACTCACAGCCGCGAGTCGAGCAAAAGCGACGTGCGCTTTGAGTTTAGTCGATCGACGCATTTGGACTGGATGCTCCGACAATATCGCTGTCATCTCCGTTTATCCAGGAAAAAACCTCACTAACAGGAGGGTCCTGCACGGGGATGTTCGGCCAATCCCACGTCTCGATGTACGGGTTTTTACATTGACTTACATATATTATATTCTGTATATATATATACACACACACATACTATGGTGCCGAGTTAAACACGTGAAACAAAGTTTTGCGTGTGTTTTTACACAATGCTTCGTATACATATTCATTATGAAGGATCATTTATGTTCTGCGTCAACACTGCTGCAACTACTTTCGACTACGTCTTGAGATTGATATTAAAACTCAAGCGCTCTGTTAGTAGCCCGAGTTCACAGCTCATCTGTCAATTCACTGCTGGATGAAGGCCGCCCTAAACCCTGTACGGGGGGGGGGGTTGTTTGACCATACTTCACCACGCTGGTCAATGCGGGTTTGTGAATAGAGAAAAAATTAACCCGTAAAAACAAAGTTTTTCACTATAAATCCTTTATATGCGTGGCATCGGTTTTATTTTATTATTAATTTCTGTTTTTCTTGAGTAAGAGTTTCATTTTTATCACATTGGTATTTTAAATGAAATATGAAAAAAAAAATTCCTAAAAAGTGTAAAGTTATGGAAAAAAATTTCACGAAAATAAATTGTCACGCACAACGAGTCTGTGTGCAAAATATCAGCTCGATTGGATCACGGGAAGTGGGTTAAAAAACGACCGAAAGATTTGCACGGTCGTAAGCGCGCAAGCAAGCAAGCAAGTGAACTTAATATAAAAGATTTAAAAAGACTCGTTGATAGTTCATATATCGCTCGCCCGCTGATGCTCGCCGTGGACGGGAATTGAACTTAAGTGCACGGGTTCACAGCGCGGAGCGCTAACCACTGCGCCACCGCTCCACACTACGTTGCTGTTACATATACACACATATAAACTGTAGGCAACGTATGCTGTATATGTGCGTGTATATATATGTGTGTGTGTGTAAAACAAATACAACGATAAATATTCCCCGTGTAGCCCAGTCCAGTTAAACGTTGGAGCACGTGCCGTCAGCGAGCGCATATTAAGCGACCAATCGCAAGTGTCGCTTCGGGTGGACAGGTACGACGCCCGACCGCATTTGTATCCCCGGCGCTCAGGCATACACGCTCCACACCTAGCTAGCCTAACTCGTTTAAGGCTAAGTCGACCTAGGAGAGATCGAACAAAGATTCGGTTGCCACTTCTCACTGATGCTGTCAGGCCATTTACGGGAATCGAACTCGGGTGGCCGTGCACGTGGGAACAAGTGCGCTGAGCCACCGCTCCGAATTGCTCCCACTGCTCGCAGTTTATGCGCACAGCAAAACTTCTCCCAACCGGGCGTTTATTCAGATTTGTTTTCTTTCTCCGGCGTACGAGGGGGTGTCGGTGCCAAGCTAGGTGCACCTTCACCTCGCCGTGGTAACCTCACCTCGCTCGGGTCGGCGTAGTAGGAGCTCCAGTCGGGCTCGTGTCCTCCCTCCATCTTCACGGACGCGACTCCCACGCACGGCGCGTGCATAATGTGTTGCTGCTGCTTCTGCTGCTGATGATGATGACGACGACGACGCAAATGCTTCTGCTGATGCCGATGATAAATCTAGCGCCGATGCCGCCGATGTTGCTGCTGCTGCTGATGCTGCTGCTGATGATGATGCTGCTGCTCGTGGATGACTCTAGTCACGTCCCCCAGTGGGCATCGCGCCTTTGCTCATCCCGGTCCCTGCTCACTTCACTCCTCTTCCTCCTCTTCCACCTCCTCCTCCAACGTTGTCGTCGTCTTCTCCTCCTCCGGCTCCCTCGTTTAAAGTTATTTTTTTCGTCTTTTCGCTCGAGATGGGAATCCCCTCCCCGTCCACTCTACGCGTCTTTACAAACGACCATGGACCTCCCGCGGAGAGTCGCGTAGTTGCTCTTCCTTGTTATAGGACGTGTTCGTCCTGTATATATGGCAGCGGGGGGAGGGGTTGTGAATGTGTTTGGGTGTGGGTGGTAGTTGGCGATGGGAGGGGGGTAGGTGGGTGGGTGAATCGACGGGTCGGTGGGTGGTGATAGAGTCGGTGGGTAGGTGGGTCGATAGATGGGCGGGTGAGTGGTGGATGATGCATCAAATCCTGCGGCGCCAACTCCAAACCATCACCTACGCGTGTGTCCACCCCACGCGGAGCTGCGGTGCAGAGGCGAGCGCGCTGCGCTACGAACCCGGCGACCCGAGTTCTATTCACGCTCGCGGACCGACACCAGCGACGATTTATCTGAACCGCTCCTGCGCCTCCCCTAGGTGGACTCAGCCTCGAAACGAGTACCTGGTGCGGTGCGTAAACATTGCCACTAGGGAGACAAAGGCGGCCGGGCGTGGTGCTTTGATTGTCGCTCGCCTCGTGTGTCCATGCGGTGGTGGGTTTTACCCGGGTTCTCTGGTCGCCCTCCCATGGTCAAACATCCCCATGCAGCAGGACCCTCCCCTTGACCAGTCTTGCGACTCAGTGAGGCTGCCATGGCCAAATACACAACAAGTGTCAGGGTGTACATCTGTTTGTTTTGTGCGTGGGTGTTTACGTGTCCCCCTTCCAGTCTGTGTTGCTATGCTCCTGTGAGCTCATCTGAATGGGGAGCGGTGGCGCAGTGGTTGTGCTAACCGACCTGGGTTCACTTCCTGAACGTCGGTCGACTGGCCAGCCCATGAGCGGCGAGTGATATCCGAACCGCTCATGAATCTCCACTAGGTCGGCTCATCCTGAAACGAATCTTTAGTACGCAGTGTAAAACATCAGCACTGGGGAGAAGAAGACGGTGATGTGTTGACCACTGAAAACCTCCTCGTGCCCCGTGCCGAACTCAATAGGCACTCGCTATTCACTCCGAAAGGTGATACAGCATTTGTCTTTCTGTCTGTGTACCTATTTGCACCGGTACACTTGCCCCAAAAGCGCGTGTAAGGCTACGGAGGAGTAGGAGAGAGATCTTTTGTCTTTATCTTTGTGCCTGGGATGGAGACGCGAAGGTAAACACACGTTTAAAACAACAAACGATGTTGGGGAGGGGAAGAGGAGACAGGGAGACCCGCGGCGACTTGATATCAGCGCTTGGCGGGACTCGCGCGCCGCCTGAAACAATGGGGATTAAAATGACTCAGTCGCTACACAGAGACTTGATGTGTAAAGCCGCTGGTCACGTGACTCTTGGTGGTTCACAGACGCCCGCGTCCGAGACGCTGAGCCGGCCACCGCTGAAGATGACGCTGGGTTCGAATCCGGATGTCGGCAGGCTCTAATTATGTGTGTATGTTGAACAGTAGCGGGGCCCTGTAGCATATGTTATAAAGAGGGCCCTGAATAAAAAAAAACCACGTAAATATTAAAACACTAATTTGTAACTTGTAAAGTCATCGGTTTTTTTTAATTTGCTATACAGCCAGATTTATGCGACACATCGCTAACCTTAAACACCCAGTCGTTCATAAAAGTTGAAGGCAGTATAGTACTATAGTGATTGAGCAAGTGCAGAATCACTGAACCGGAATTGATAAAAGTTGAATGCAGTACAGTACTATAACAATACAGCAAGTGCAGAATCACTGAACCGGAATTGATAGCTTGAAAGCATTTAGCGCGGGGCCCTTGAAAGTATGCGGGCCCTTTCGATTTAAAGCTTTCGTGACTGCAGGGATTCATCTTCTTGGTTCTTTCGGTAAAGTCACGTAGAAGGGAAGTAATAAAATAATAAAGATAAAACATAATAAAAATAATTCTCACGACGTTTCGGCCACAACGCAAGCAGCCGTCCTCAGGTGAAAACCAGGTCTGTCGAGACGTCGTGAGAATTATTTTATTATGTTTTATCTTTATTATTTTATTACTTCCCTTCTACGTGACTTTACCGAAAGAACCAACAAGATATGCGGGGCCCGTAGCAAACTTTTGCTACTAAAATAATGCGGCACTGATGTTGAACGTTTTTTCGCACCGTAAGTAGCTAATCGGAGGCAAGGCATTGAACCGGGGTTCTCAAAACCGAAGCGAGTTTTATGGTTCCATTCCAGTCACTGATAACTGCAACAATGAAATTGTGTTCTTGGTTCTTTCGGTAAAGTCACGAAAGAACCAAGAAGATGAATCCAAGCAGTCACGAAAGCTTTACATCGAAATGAAATTGTGATTGAGTTAGATTTATTTAAAACTGACTATATTCCATTTTCGTTGTTGTTAGAAATACAAAAACAAATGGGATGTGTCAAACTATTGCGTGTGTGCACATGGCGAGACGCATGTTGGGTCGGAGGCTCGTTGCTCTGCTTACTCGTTTTGTCGCGATGCTAATATTGTCCACGACAGCGCTGATGTCGGACGCGTTACCGGGGGGGGGAACAAAAATACCGGGTTGATAGTCACGCGATAAACATTTAATTCATCTATTTTAGAACTGCTTTTGTGTTTAGTTTTTTGTTCCATCCCCCCGCACCTCCGATTAGCGCGGTTGGCTACGTACGGTGCGAAAGAAGTCCACAATACATACACGCTGTACCTCGTGTGCGCAAGAGAGCGAGTGAAGAGAGACCTCAGAAGCATCTTCTTGGTTCTTTCGGTAAAGTCACGTAGAAGGGAAGTAATAAAATAATAAAAATAAAACATAATAAATAATTCTCACGACGTTTCGGCCACAACGCAAGCAGCCGTCCTCAGGTGAAGAAATTCTTCAGAAGAATTTTTTTATTATGTTTTATTTTTATTATTTTATTACTTCCCTTCTACGTGACTTTACCGAAAGAACCAAGAAGATGAATCCCTGCAGTCACGAAAGCTTTAAATCGAAACCTCAGAAGCAGTTGTGTGCTAGCACCTTCCAGATGCAGGTAACCCCGCACAAGTCGGTGCTCTGCTTTCTACGACAGCACCGAATGGATATTTATTTCAGTGTCGTCACCGAACAATGATATGCAAACTATTCTTAATTGTAATAAAGAAATTAGCAATTGTGTTTGTTTGTTCTACATATATATCCAGCCGATCGTACGGGGAGTGCGCGACTGATGTAATTGTTCACGATATTCTGTAACGACGAAACATCTTACATTTGATGCATATATATAGCAAACTATTCGCTAATAACTATAAATATCCGGAAACGAAACGTTTCGATGTTTTTGGCCTCTAAAATGTATAAGATGACAATAATAATTATTGTTGAACTTTTTAGTTTTGGAAACTCGAAGCCCGGCCTCTTTACGCGACTCTAACCACGATGCTCCATCCATGCACATCCTGCCATCATTGGACTGCACACGAGGAATCTTTGCATTCATTTTTTACATTTATGACAAACAAAAATAATGAACAAAAAAAACTGTTGCTTTTCACAATGCCATACGAACGCGGATGATATTTGTCGCGCAAGCCTGACTACGAGTTAAACTGATAGACGGAGTGTCTGTGTTTGTTCCCAAGTTCGCCGCATTCCACCATTGACATCAGATTTGAAAATCCAAACACGGTGGGGGTTTTTTTCTTCCATTGTTGTATTCCCACATTTACGGACGCAATGTCTGTATGTCTGCTGAACTTCTTTCGCACCGCATGTAGTCAACTGTGCTAATCGAAAATAATGTTGAGCTGTTTCGTTACAATAATGTTTTTTTAGCCACAACGAGCGTTTGATTCTGGATTGTTTGCAGATCTGTTAAGTCATCTACACAAGGCATCAAATACCCAATGGCTCAAAGTTCAACGCCACTCTTTGGAAGAGTGTGAACTTCATATCGCCAATGGACGTCTCGGTTAAGTCCGCTCCGCTCCCAGCTACGAACAGAATGTACATACAAACACGCTTAGCCCGTGCACCTGAATACACACACAGGGCATCTATCAGTCTCACTGCTGGATGGTGGCCTTTGTCACGCCGTGCGGGGATCCTTTGACTCCACGCCGGACAATGCGACAATTGCTGAAGGCCGGTGTGCTGCGTAGAGGCGGGAGCATAGATGTACAGAACAACAATGGATGTTGTTCCATGCGCTCCAACTTCTCCTGCCCCCGCAATGGACGGCGATTCACGTGGGGGGTAGGCAACTGCAGTCGCGCAAATAAATGTTAATTGAATGCGCATGAATGAGCCCACGGTGCTGATTGGGCAGATAATAGGGACGCGGTTATCAGAGTCTCCATTAAATCCGCGCTGTAACTGAGAGACTGGGACGCGTGGCGACTTGCTATCGGGATTCTGTCGGGACTCGGGGCTCCCAGAAACAATGGGGATTATTGAGCTGACTCATTTGTTTCGGAGACTTAATATGTTAAGCCGGTCTGTCTTGGCTGTGGCCTGGCGACTCCGGCGGGGTTCACAATGGCCGTGTCGGAGACAACGCCGCCATGCACCGCTGAGAAGCTGCGTTCGAATCCGGGATGAATTCTCCCGTGGGGGGTTTGCCGGGTTCTCAAGTGCAGTGAGTCCGATGGTCTCAGCCCGGTCACCACCAGTGAATGCACGAAGAAGAAAAAAAATCGTCCCCCCATGAAATTGCCTTCTGCACTTGATTTGGCAAAATATCAGCCGAGAGAATGAAAAATACTGTGCCATGAAAATAATTTAGTTCAACATTGATTCATTTATCGGGGGCATACTAGTCGATTTTAAACCATGATTCTTTGCATCATTAACAGTTTTTTTAATGTACCCTGTGTTTTGTATGCTTTACCAAGCAATGTAAACACTCCTACCAACCAGTGGGGGGGGGGGGGGGGGGGGGGGGGGAGCGGTGCGTAATGGTCAGCGCACTGCGCGAGGAACGGGGCTGCCTGAGATCGATAGTCGGCCACGGCTAACACCAGTGGGCGATCATGTTTGAACCGATACTGGCCACCCCAAGCCCCCTTCACCCACCATCCCGGTGAAGTATGGTCCAAACATCCCC